CCTCGCAGTAGGCCCAAAGCTTCACCATCTTCCTCAGCCGGGTTCCGCCCCCGCCCTGTGGATTTGTCCACACAACGAAGCGGCGCACTTGGTCATTGGTTTGGAATTTACTGGAAACCAACCCCCTGGCACCAGTGCCCTGTTTGATAATTCAAAGGGACACCCCGTCAAGAATTGGGAAAAAGACTTGAGTCTCCAAGAAAGGGACCTACAAATTGCTCGTTTTGGCCCCTCGGTCTTGAATCGCTCTCAAAGGCCATAAAATAGGCGCATGCAATCAAACCCACTCTGGGAAACCTGGAGATCTCCAACCCAACCCGGAAATGACTGCAGTTGGGGCCATGAACTGAAGCGCTGACTTGGATCAAAACCACCCCAAGTGGGAAAAGAAACCAGCCACCAGCCAAAAACCAGTCTAAATAATTGTCCCAAGATTAGCTTCCGTTCTCTTGGTTTCGAAGAGTTCTGGAACTATAGTTTCCCTCAAAAGTATGATCCTTAATAATTAGGCGGGTGTATCTTAAAATAGGGCACCAACAAAGATTGGTGGTGTTCCTTGACATTGAGAAAGGGAGTCCACTAATGTGGAACCCGACGTTTCGGAGTCCTGGAAGATCAATTTCCTTTTCAACTGACTCTCCGGTCTAGAAGACGGTTCGGATGAGGCTTCTGTGGATCCGACCCAGTAGGAGTACTAAAAGATTACTAAAACAGGGCACCCTCAGGATGGTTATCTAAATTGGCTCCTCTTGGCTTTTTTCTGGGGGCGGGTTTTCGGCATTTTCGGCTTTCGGCCGCCCCGCCACTAGCTGGCCGGGGGACAGCTTCTCCTTCTTGGCCGGCCAGCCGATGACGTGGGTGGCATGGTAGGACACCATCCTGGGCTCCTTGAGCGCGCTGTCCGGCATGAAGCAGCCCAGGATGTACTCCCAGGGGGACCTGGCGGACGGAAAAACGGGAAAAACGGCCGGCCGCTGGTGAGGTGCAAATAGGGATGACCAGGAGAGTCCGGGTGTTGGTTGAAGGAATGAACCGGTGTTAGGCTGGAAACCCCCAGCAAATGTTGCTTCAAAAGAAAACCAAAGTTGATTGGAAAGCCCCGGTGGCTGCCTTGGTCAGTTTAAGAGGGAAGCTGTGTTGCTTCACTTGCCGGTGCGATAGGCAGAAAATGATCCGCAACCGGGTGTTGGTAAGGAACCGGTCTTAGGGGATTCCCGAATAAAGGAAACCATACGGGATGGTTTATAGGGGTCATTCCTTCATTCCCTGCAGGAAACCAAAGGGAATATCACAAGGTGTTGTTGATTGGAACCACCCGACTCGAATGGTTGCCTTGGTCGGTTAAGGGAAGCTGAATACACAGGACCCAAGGAACCCAACTGCGGATAGCGATGTCTGAAAATGGAAGGCACCCTGGGCTCAAGGCAAACTGACGACGAAATTAAAATACCTCTGGGCCCTGGTAAAACCCAACTGCACTGGTGATTGCAACCCGAAACCGTCCTCAATCAACGCAGACTTTGGCAATACCAAAAAACCCACGAAGCACAAGGCTTGCCTCAAGCAAGCAAAGACGATCGCCCTTCGGGCTGTCATGCGTAGACCGAACCAGTGAAAACCAAAAGGTGTCCGACTTGTCCGAAACTTAATAAAGCCAAAGTGATCTGAGTCTACTGGCCAGAAAACAATAAACCGTTTGGTTCACCATCCAAAAGCTTACAAGTTTGCCGACTGAACAGGGAAGGACATCGGAAACCCCAACGGAGGCTGTCTCCCCTATGCTTTCTCGACTATTCTTTAAATAGCCTCGACCATTAAAAATACAAAAGGCATAAAAGTAATGTCCCTCGACCATTAAAAGTAGGTCTAGACAAGCTTGGCCAACTTGAGACGGCTGGCTCCTGACATCCCCGCGCTTCTCTGCAGTGAGAGGTTAAAGAACTTTGTTGTTGCCTTTTCTAAAATATGCTAAGTATGTGTTACAGTCGCTTCATCCCGCTGTAATCACACGCCGTCAGCATGCTGTGTGAGTTTGGCTTGTCCCTCACATGCCCGTGCATGCTTTTTCACTTCTTGTCCACAGCTCCACAGAGTCTGATCGCGTGTTGTTTGTTGATTGTTTAATCGATTTCGAAAGAACATGAGGCGTGGACAAACCATGGACAAATCGTGGAAAGTACGTTTTTTAGCGTGGAAAGTACATTTAAAGGCGTGGAAAGTACATTTGAAAGCGTGGACAAACCATACCCCAGGAGCCCACAACGCATGCCTGATCGGCAGCGATGCCCCGAAGCCACTAAGTTTGCAGCATTTTTCAAAAAAGCCGGACTTCGGTACCAACATGCGAAGAATCTATGCATGCATATACGGTAGGCGGGACACCTGGCGATTTTAAGAAGTGATGCGACCCTACATTTGGTAAGCCGGGGAATGAGTGGCTTGGGTGCAGACATTTGCAGCTGGGAGGATGAGGGCGGCGTGACTGGCAGTGACCTGACCCTAAGCAATTCTTGGGCAACAAAAACCATGATTTTGTGGATATTCAGGGCCAGGCGCAAAAACGGTCTTTCGGCAAAAAACAGTCTAGCGACCTCGACCATTCTTTTAATGGCCTTTGGAAGCCTAGGGTCTCAAAATGAGCCTTCAAACACACCTGACAAGTCTCGGTTGCTTTCTGCTCCCCTGCTAAAAGTTTAACTCTTAGTGGTTTAATGGAAAACCCATTAGTTGGCAAAAAGGTAAAGTCCCAACATGCAAGCAAAATGCAAAGAAGTGTACCTGACGTGAAACAAAGAGCAAACTTGCATGGAAACATCAAAACTTTGATTCGCTGAGGCACATGTCGCAGTAGTTGAAGACGAGGGAATCGTCCACCCCCGCGCAAGCGCTATTGTTGCAATGCCGGAAGCAGCCCACATAGTCCTGGGAAGGGGCTTCAGACCCCTTTGAAGGAGAACGATAAGGAGGTTGTTTGCACAAAATGTGGCTTTTCTATATGTTTGCGGAGGGGGCTGGCCGGGAGGCGCTTGCACAGGAAAAGAGAAAGGGAGGGCTGCTTCTCCAAATCGAGGATAATCCCCCGCATTTGTTGGTCCTTCTGGCTCCTTTTCAAAGCTTCCAGAATGGGATTCCCGATATGAGACAGCTCCCGTGAAGCTAGCTGTCCTTATGGGAGGCACTACATGAATAGATCCAAGCTAAACCAGTGGAATCCATCTGGGTATGAATTCTAGCGGAAGCTTCTTTGGCGGACATCATTTGCGTGGGCACTTAAGTCCACCTGCAATTTGTGAATGTATGTCCCCTGTAAAACTCATAGCCATCTGTGTTCAACCAAACTGATCAAAAAGGACATCTACAAGGAATCCTTCCAAAAGAGAGCTGCTCTGTGTCTGGGGAGCAAATTGAACAGGCACTTTGATCTGAGCAACTCCTTATGCGGCTTTTCACAGCGTTTACTCTAATTGGGAAGAACAACAAACTCTGGAGAAAGAGGGGTTCGGTGTTTTGCAGAACAAACAAAGAAGCACTTTCCGTCTTCGTGTCGGCGTTTCACGGCTCGAATCGTGGCAAGTCCTTGTCTCTCGCCGTTTGGCGCCGTACGTGCACCAAGGCGTCCCAGAAGTTCTCTTGGTCGTCCATGTCGGGGCGCCGGTTGCACCAGCTCACTCCTGCCTCAAAGACCTTGTTGACGACGCTCTGCTTCTTGGGAGAACCCGACACGTAGTAGAAGCCTCGGTCTAAACTCTGAAAAGGTTCCAAAAAAGACATGTTCTACGATGTCACACTCCTGATTGTCCCGTGTAATCTCGGCTACCCATTTGGTGGGACTATGGTGGTGGGAAATATCCTCAAATCTGTGATACCAATGTGGGCCATCCTGGCATGTGACTCTCTATGTCCCACGACCGTGGGTGGGACTGGCTGCAACAAGATGCGAACTTCGTGGCCTGGGCACAAACCAGTGGCGTGCGGCTCTAAGGGGCAGGCCAAGCAATGGGCAAAACATGGGGGAGATCAATCCAGTGGCTTCCTATAGGGAGAGACAAACGAAACGTGGGTGATCCACTTGCTGGTTCTCAGCAGGGAATGAAAATGGAATGGCCAAGAACATGTTCTTTGGTTTCCTTTGAGGGAATTGCTAGGTTCACTCCCAACACCCTGGGTCATTCCCTACGGCCAATTCAGCACCCAGGTTGCTCAGATTTGATGAAGAACCTAAGAATGATTGTGAAGGGAAATCCTTCGAAAAGCACCAAAAAACCTGCATGTAAGGAGCTAAGGTCCAAACGAGGTTGTCCCTCATCACTTTACTATTCTCAAAGTGACCCAGTGGTGGCTTCAAAGAAAGCAAGCCGAGGTTCATTGAGAAACGCAAGACACAGCCAAGTAACAAGTATTTCATTTCCAGTGTTGGACAAGGGAGTATGCTCGGCTTGGTGGGGGGTTGGTCATTCCGTAGGTTTTGTCCTTTCACGTCGAGTGGTAATGGTCCCCTCTCCGGTCTCGAGAGTTTAGCTCATTGGCAGGGTCCACTTAGGCAGCGTGCAACCCCAAAACCAAGGATCTAGATCCAGTATGATTCCGATCCATTGTTCATCATACATAAGATGGCCCCAACACGTTGACCCAGTCCTAAGCACAGGCCAAAAGGCCGGTGTTTGCCTTGATGGGCTCCTGGTGGTAGACCTCCGGCTTCAGGTTCTCGATCCTCTCGCGAAAGATGAGGCGCAAAAGTGGCGGTGGCGCGTCTCTCTTTGCCACCGTACCCCGTTTTTGGGTGGCTTTAAAGTTGAAGACCACGAGGAACGCGCGCGCCTTTTCTTGTTTCATGTGGGTGGCTCGCCGAAAAAACAAATCCGCTTCCCCTCGTTGTTTGGTGGTTTGGAGCCCGGTGGTTTGGTGACCAGGCGTTCAAATTCCCAAACCGCCAAGCCAAACCACTAAAGGGGTACCTGACTTTTTGTGATGGTGCCCCGCTTTTTGCTTGGTGCACAGGGAAAACCCATGCCATTTTGGGGGGGTCCCCTGTTCAAAGACATACCTGCGATAATTCTAAAGGGGGGGGGCTCCACGTTCTTTTCGGAACAAAAAACAGTTTCCCCGTGCGTAATGGTTCCCTGACAGAATAGAACAGCTTCCCCTACAATAGTGTCGACCGCGGATTCATCATCCTGCTGGATGATTACAGGGTGTTTGCAAAAGAAACGAGGGTTTTTGTTCCTGGGTACACAAGAACCTGCTAATTTTGGAGCTTTATTCCCAAGGTACGCGGCAACCTACGAGCTTTTCCTCACCACCAGTCGCCTCTGACCCCCGGGCTCGATCTTGCGACCGTAGATGTACTCGTACTGCCCGGAACGGATCATACTGCCCAGCGACCTGACTTGGACAGGGCTTGGAACCCCGAAGCCCGCAAAGAACATGAGAAGGAAAGGGTATGTGTCAAAATAGAGGTTTGTCTTCCTTAAAGCAAGGCTATAACAGGGTCCCTTTCAGGATAGAGTTGGCCAGCTAGAAGATCGCTTTTACCAGCTGATGTAGATGATTCCCTTGTACAGCAGGTGGTTGTTCAATGTATCCTTTAAGGTTGTTGGGAGACAAAGCAAACTGGGTGCCAGCAACCCCGAACATTGGGAGAGAAGTCCAGCAGCACTGGAGAAATGGCTCAAGTTCGGATGGTGTTCAGGGATCCTTGCATTATACACCTGAACATTGCCTTGGAAATTGTGGTGTCCCTTTATTTTGGCTTTGAAAAAGCAACATGTTTCAAATGGTTGCAAAATGGAGATCTTTTAAGAAGCCCTGTTGTTGTTGTATTCCAGAAAAACCATGGCGCCAGTGGGGACCACACGCCGCTGAGATCAAAACCAGCCGCAGGAGCAGATCCTTGACGCGCGAATTGGCACACCGCGGAGTGTAGAATTCGCCGCAGGGCGAGTAAAATACACCAGCGGAGAAACCGTTAGAAGGAGTTCTCCAAAGATTGCTGTATTTCACAGGCTGCCTTAAAGGATACATCGAACAACCACCTGCTTTACAAGGGAATCATCGAAAGCAGCTGATAAAAATGATCTTCTGGCTGGCCCCAATGTATCCCAAGAAGGACCCTGTTTCAGTTGCTTGCGCTTCGGGGCTGTGAACTGCATCGGTTGAACAAAGAAGGCGTCATGTCACCTATCAGGGCCCCTGCCAGGCAAACAGCTTTCCAACAAAAGCAAAAGGCAAAGCCGACAGTTCGGAGGTTGAAAAAGGGCCTCCGCGCTGGTCTGAGAACATTCCCCTGCAAACAACCCATCCCAAGCTTGGCTGTACATGTACAACCATCGCAGTAGCGTATCACCATGATTGTGAGGGGACTACCCCCAGTTGCCCCGCTTATGACCATGTTTATAAGCCACTAAGTTGATTGAGCACCAACTTAAGGGGAATAATGCTGACCCCATATTAATCAACCCCAGAGCATTCATAGGGGGTGTTCCCCTAAAGACGTCCGATTCCCCTCCCTAAGAATAAACTGGGCTTGATTCATATGGGCCCAACATTAGGGAGACCCAAAAAAGAGACCAAACAAGTGTTAATAAGGGGTCGCCACTCTAGGCGACCCAAAACACCGAGCCGCAGGGAGGGGAGGAAGGGGTCGCTCTTGAAGACGTTGTCGCCGTCCGAGAAGACGAGGTCCAGGTTGGTGGACCTCAAAATCTCCAGCACCGTGCGGATCTTGTTGCAGGAGATCACCTTGAAGCCCACCTGGCGGCAAATAAAAAAGAGCTGAGGGGTGTGGGGTGGGGGGTGGGGCGTGGGAGTGTGGGTGCATACATGTATATATATATATATACTTATTGTGTACGTATGTATGTATACGTATGTATATATATATATATGTATATATATATATATATGTGATCAACTTGGTGGGAGCCCGCGATCTAAGTAGAACCCCTGGTTGATGTTGGGAGAGGTGTCGCGGTTCAGACTCCCAAAATGAGCAAACCTCATATGACCCCAGCTGAGCCCTTCCGGGGGTCAACTCATACTGGTGCTCAAGTGGTTCGAGGGGACGAGCTCTGAGTTCCATGCACCAAAACCCCAGAAACGTGGCCTCGGAGTCCAGGCGACGTGTTCGGGGGTCTAGAGTTGGACCCAATGGCGAGCTCTCGTGAGCCTCCCGTTAAAAGAAAACAAGACGGGGTCCCCGAAAAACGCGCCCATGCGTGCCATTGTATACCTGTATATACTTCATATATATATATATATAATATATATATATATATATGTATGTATGCCACACATGTAGCGAGCCTACCTAATGTGCTTTGAAGACCACATGAGTCATCATCAAACCATCATGTTAAAGGACTCCACAGGGGCGGTTGTGGGCCCTGCCCATCTACTCATGGAGCACCAGGGCACCCTTTTCAGATTCCTTTTGAATCCTTCAAAAGGTCCGAACCTGACTGTATGGAAGAAAATTCGAGCTGGGATGGATTGGCGCGTGGGCAGGAAAGCAGCTCACTCTCGCACCCTAGACCTCCCATTCTCCCCAAAAGAAAAAGGTCAGAAACTTCTTGGTTTGCAAACGGACCCCAAGGACCCCCTTCCTCCAAAAGGAACACGGGTCAACCAGCTTCTTGGTGTGCAAAAAGACCCCTTCCCCCAAAAACCGGGGAGCACCCCGAAAACCCACATCGGCCGCAAACCGAACACCGAATCAGCCGCAAACTTCATCGGCGCCTTGGAGTTGAAGGCGGCGGCCTCCTCCCACTCCTGGCCGGTGGCCTGAAAGCTGCGGTCCTCGCCCAGGTGCTGGTGCAGCTTGCCTCGGGTGGGCGTTCCCCCCCCCCCAATCCGGTTTCACTGGGCTAAAAGTGGGGGGTGGTTCGAAACTGCATCGGCATCAAGGGAGGCAAAAAGGAACCCCCAAAAAGTTGCTGGTGCTAGCTTTGGGGTTTTGAGATACAAGGACAGGATCTCAAAACCTCAGAACCTCAACAAAAAACAAAACACCTCAACACCGCAGCCACCTTCCAACACAAAAAAAAAAGCCCCGCCGAGGGATCGATCGAAGGGTTTTTCGCTTCGATCGATGGGAGCCAAGGAGCTGTCCATGGACATGACCATCCAGTCGAGGCCCAAGCGCTTGGCGAAACACTCCCAGTTCACCAGCATCTCCTGAACCGAAAACCCACTGGCGACCGGATGCTGTGGATGGGTCCTCCAAAAAAACCATCCACCGCACCACGAAAAGAAGCATGAAGCCATTGTTTGTTGGAATTTGCAGGGGAGTCCTCATTCCAGGGTGTCTTAGGTGCAGGATTTCGTCCATCCACGGTAGTAAAAGAGTACGAAAAGAGCACGAAAAGCTGAAGCTACCAGATCCAAACCGCTTTCTAGGTCCTCAGAAGAGGGTACCCTCCACAAAACGAACAGGAGCCTAGGAAAGAGGTTCCATGCTTGACTGGTGGGTACCCTCTTGCCAAAGTCGGCAAGTGTCTTTTGGGCTCCGTGTCAACTTGCTAAGGGAAACCACAAGAAACAAAATACGATTGGTTGGGCCCCCATTTAACACATACCCAAGTCAATGGGATGGCTACCCTCTTGTTACAATGAAATGATCGTTCATTTCCCCGGCTTCTTGCTACACTCACAGAACACTAGGACATCCACAACATGTTCAAAAAAACCAAGACGTCTGCCATTCCAATGGCGGCTTCGAACTTCGACCGCTTTCAGCTTCAAACCCCGAAAGCCCTCCCCGGTCTCCAGGTACCCCGAGTTGGCCGCTGTGAGCAGCAACACGTTCTTCAGCTCTGGCGCCTTCGTCTTGTCCTCGTAAATGCCCGCGTGCCGCCGCAGTCGCTCGGCCAACGGCTCGGACTTGGCAGCTGCAGCTTGGGCCGCCTTTGCCGCTTCCGCCTCCTGGGCCGCCTTTGCCGCTTCCGCCTCCTGGGCCGCCTTTGCCGCTTCCGCCTCCTTGGCTGCATTGGCTGCCTTGGCTGCTTCCGCCTCCTTGGCTGCCTGGGCTGCTTCCGCCTCCTTGGCCTGGACTGCTTCCGCCTCCTTGGCTGCCTTGGCTGCTTCCGCCTCCTTGGCTGCCTTGGCTGCTTCTGCCTCCTTTGCCTTGGCCTCTTCTGCTGCCTTGGCCACTTCCGCCCCCTTGGTGGCTACCTCTACATCCTCCGCATCCACCGGCACTGGCCCCGGAGGCACCGGCGCAGGCGCAGCTGCGGCTGGCGCGGGCGCGGGTTGGAAGCTCAGCGGCTGGCTGATGTCCAGATTCAGCAGCAGCAGCAGCTGGTTGCTGGACGGCAATTCCTGGTTGCTCGGTGATAAGTAGAACCAGCTTCCGCCACTGCGAGCCAAACAAATTCTTGCCCGCGTATTAATCTGGAGGGCTGGAACTGTTTTCCAAGGCCGTAAGGCTGGTCCTCGGCCAAAACCGGCAACAGTGTGATTCGAACATCACCCCATCCAAAGGGAAGTCTTGAACTTCCAGATGCTTCAAGCACCCAAACAGGGACAAGTTCCCCAGTTTGTTGGCCCAGGATCCATGAACGGCCGCACCAGGAACCCCATGGACATGAGCGCCAGCACCGCCGCCAAGCCCCTCCGGATCTCCATGGCGGCCGACCACTTGCCGGAGCCCGCCCGCGCGCTTTTGCGTGGAAATACCACGCAGAATCTGCAAAGGAACCCCCCTTCCCCTTTTTGGGCGCCCCAAAGGTGACATAGATGAGTGTTTGGTCAAGCTCTCTCTCTCTCTCTCTCTTGCCGCGGGCTCAGCTGCGTGTGAAAGCGTTGACGGGCTCAATGCTGGGGGTGGTCTTGTTGTTGCTTGCCGTTCCGTTGTTTGTCCAACTGGTCGTAGAGTTGCTTGCGATCCGAATTTCTGGGCGGGCGACGCTCAATTTCAAAAGTGACAATAGCAAAAGATCTCAAAATCAAGCCCACAACGCCGGGTCGTCATGAAATATCGCCTGGTCTCAAAATCCATCCCATTGCGACACCCACCAAACAGCAAAGAGGCGGAGAACGGAGAGAAAGAGAGGGAAAGGGAGAGAGAAAGAGAGAGAGAGAGAGAGAGAAGTAGAGAGAGAGACCAGGAGACGGAGAGACACAGAGTGGAGAGATGGAGGAGCGACAGAGAGACGAAGAGACGCACAAACAGTTACACCGAAAGACAGGCAACAAAACAAACAAACAAACAAACAAACAAACAAACAAACAAACAAACAAACAAGACAGATAAGACAAACAAACAAACAAGATAGACAAGACAAACAATCAAACAAGACAGACAAGACAAACAAACACACAAACAAGCAAGCAAGCAAGCAAGCAAGCAAACAAACAAACAAACAAACAAAACAAACAAAACAAACAAACAAACACACCGAAAATCAACAACTTCGTCATTCAGCATCTCGTTTTCCAAGCAATGCACTGCAAAGCGCCCGCTCCGGCTCCCGTAACGCGGCTGAAGTGATTGCTTCTACACGGCGGGGCTAGTGTTTGGTCAGGTGCATGGTGACCTACCCCAAAACCCGCGAGCACCGTCACGACTGTAGTGCTCAGTGATCAAAACGGCCAGGGTCAACGTGCCCCTCACTAGCCCAGCAATCTGGCCCACTGTACACCGCATCCCCCGGCGACCCGGGACCCCCCGAGCCTACGGTCCGCGCGGGCCGGGCTGCTGTGGATGGGTGGTAAAGCTGGTGCTTACTAAATGAAACGACCCCTCAAATGACTTTGGGGCTTCGTACGCCCGACAAAACTAAAGGTGGGTTCGGACAAATTTTCAGCTGTTTCAAGGGGCCTATCCATCTGCTTGCTCAGTGCACACAAAGCCTAACGCCACAGTTGGTGTGGGTGTGTCTTTTTCGAGGGCAGAAAAATGAAACGCCTTGCGGGGTTGACTGTTAGTGGGTCCCGAACGCACCAAACAAAAATGAAAGGATTCATATAAAACCAAAAAGGGATTTAAAGGTATTCAGAGGCTGGAATCTACTTGAACTGGGCTCGCTCTGCGACCGTTTTGTTGATGGATTACCTCCACAGCTGTTCGAAGGCCCAGCTCTTAGACGCGGAAGCTATGTACCAACCGGGAGGGAGAACGGCGAGAAAGCGCTCTCTGGGGGTAAGGCCTTGACATGGGCTTGTGTCACAATAACTGGGCTGTCCTCAGATCCCCCGCTAACAGCTTAACTTTTAGTGGGTTAAATGGAATCCCCACTATGCAAACAAAAAAAAGCTAAAAAGCTGAGGGGATGGCTGGGAGCCACCAAGATAAGGGGGCCGGCGTCCAATTTGGACGGACTTGCAGGCAGACCTCAAAACGGAAGCCAAACCACCAGACGAAGGGGTGAGGCGCTGTCCACTTGCTCTTTGTTGGGGGCTTTCAATTGGGGCAAGCTCGGGGTGGTGGTTGAACAGCAAAAACACCCCGGGGCTCGATGTCCGTTTTCACGCCCAGATCAAGGCCAGAGGTGAGACTGGCGAGTTAGGTTTCGTCTCTCAGCGCCCGTGGCGGGCGGCCCTATCGGTGGCTCCGAGCGAAGCGCCCCGGGAAAAGCGCAAAACGTCTGAGTGTGGGTTAAAAACACTCGGTTGCTTTCTGCTCCCCTGCTGAAAGTGAATAACTTTTAGTGGCTTAATACGGAAAACCCACTAGTTGGCAAAAAGTTGAAGTCCTAACATCCAAGCAAAATGCACCAAGAATATAGGTACCCAAAATGGAACCCTGGTTTATTGGAAAGAAGGACTAAAGCCTGCGGTCCTCTAGTACTTTAATTAAATCTTGACCCATACCCATCTGGGTCCAACTTGATATTCCCAAAGTTGCCCGAGCTGGTGGATTAATTGGGAGAACGGGTCCTTCAAGATATTATTGACTTTGCAGGACCCAGAACAAGCGGTCGATGCTAAGCCGCTGTCGAAGTTTGGAAACATATCCGTAACAGGGCGGGATTCCCCGGGAAACCTCAAACTGGATATTCCCAACCTAAGCTGTTGCCCGCAACGAAACATTCTATGTTTGATTCTGGGCCATGCTGTGTTACCTTTGGATTAAGCTGAAGCATTCCTGTCAGAACTGCCTCAATATAAGAAAGGAAAGAACCGCTCTTTTCTCTCCTTCGTAGGGGCTGTCCCACCCCTCAGCACGGGGATTCGTACACCCTGCCCCGCCTGAAAACCCGTTTCCGTTGCCGGAACTTGAGGCGCAGTGGCTTCAAATCCCAGCCCAACTTCAAACCAAACCTTGCAAGGGCCTGTCCAACCCTCCCCCAACCCAGACCGAACATGCGCGGCAACCCCACCTCGAGCTCTGGTCTAAGCGCTTGAGGCGCAGCCATCAGCCTGGCCACTTGGAGGAGGAGTGGTTTCGGAAAGCGCCCTATTCGTCCCCGAAAACCGCCCAAAAGATACCGGGGGCAAGTTGTCAAATGGCCGTGGGTCAAAATCCAAATCGCACCCCCAGTGAACATCCGATTCAATCCCCGCTAACATAGACTAAAATGGTGGTGCACCTATCCCAAAATGGTACCATTGGTTTTGACCCACAGCCAAATCCTTTTTGGAGGGCGTTGACCCCCCCGTCCCGAGCTGGGAAGGCTTGTCTGCTAAGCCTCCAATTTGCCCATTCGGGTGTGTCTTTTTGTAAGGGACCCCCAAAAATGTCTGGGCTTTCCCTTTGGTTTCCGTTTAAAACCATCAAAAGAGGCGCACCCTCAAACAACACCCATGTGCTCGCCGAAGCAAAGTCCAACGTGGGCTGCTCCCTCAACAAAAAACAAAACAAAGAAGGCTTCGGTACTCCTTGTGGTTGTCCTTCAAAGAGGCACCAACCCCCAACAAACAAAAGAGCCACCCAAATCCCTGCAAAAAAAACAACCCCAACAAAACACCCCCAACAAAACAAGGAGGCAAAACATCCACCCCACTGGTGCTTTCTCCACCTTCGTTTCCCCCGTGCGTCACGTGACCCCTTCAGTCTTGGCCTAGCCCTTCTGCTCCAGCGCCGTGAGCTCGGCTCCTCGGCGCCGGCGGGAATGACCCTTATAAGCCGTCCCCATATGGTAGGGAATCCCCTTCTGGTTCATTCCCAACACCCGAGCTCAGTCATTCCCTACCTATTGCACTAGCATGCTGAGTACCATGGTAAGTGGGCTTCTACCAGGGTTACTAACCACTTAGCTAACTAGCCCATCCATTGCTACCCCTTGTGGTTGGGTGTTTGTTGTGGTGCTTGTTTTTGTTATTGTTGCTATTGTTGTTCTTGTTCTTGCTCTTGTTGCAGTTGTTGTCGTTGGCGTTGGCGTTGTGGTTCCGGTTGTGACACCTCCAACCGCAGATCCGGTTGTGACACTTGAACAGAAAATTGGGCATCTCATTTTCTGGCGAACTTTCCGTACTGTCCAATTTTTGGTGTGGCAGATCAAGCTCCGGTGGGTTTTTCGGTTTTTCACCCCACCCCAAAAACGGCTCCAACCAGGGTTACTAACCATGGCGCTACATCCCGGATCATCTCGGTACACCCACATGTCATATGTTCCTTCGGTGGTCTTCAGCACCACCGACCGCGGGCCCTTGTGAGGCTTTTTTTTGGTAGGGGTCCGATGTCTTGAGTAAAAAAAAAAACCTACGCTTTCAGCGCGAGGCAAATCCGACCGGGGCTACCTGCTGTTTGGCAGATTGCCCGTTTCCTTAGGTCCAAGGACGGCGGTTGCCCCAAATGCCTTAAATACCCACTTCCTTCAGAATGATGTGAAGCCCCCGCGGAAACAGCTTAACAAGCTAAGGACATGCCCCACAGCTCTGGGTTGGAGGTTCATGGAACCCGCAAAAGATGGCACGCAGGACTGCAACCAAAAAGCTCAGAGCAGCTTCACGGTCCAGCTCCACTTCATCCTGCGAGCAACAAAGAAGAGGATCTTGCCCAGGTGTAGCAAACAAACGTCAACCCCCCCCCCCCCGCCAACTACAAAACACATGCAAACTGCAAAGTTACTGTGGGCGTCTAACTACGGCCCCGACATGGGTAGTTCAATGTCTCTTATTCCAAAAAAAGTACACACTCACCCATGTGGGGCCCCAATACTCACGCATCAGAATCTGTCTTGGGGAGGGGCCTCGCCTCCTTTCCTCGCCACCTTTGGTTCCGAAGTTTTTCCAACTCCACGGTGGGTCTGTGCCCAAATGGCCACCTACAACACGGCGGCCAAACCCGTCCTCTTCCGTGAGCTCATCCCAGTCCTGTCAGTCCAGTCGGCAGATCCGGCTCTAGGAAGCCTCACCAAAAGGGATGATTTTCTTTGGAGGCTTGCCCTATTTGGAGTGGCTTCAAAGGGACCAGAACCAAGGAACATCCGCCACTCTTGGAACGAAGACTGATTTGCCATGGTGCACACTTGGTTGATTCGGGAGAAGGGGCGATATGAAGTATCATTGAAGTAAACGAGCCATTCGCCGCGAGGGATTCCAATTGACTACAGCAGAGCTGTGGTTCATTTGTCTGACTTCTCGCTGCAAGTTCGGAAGTCACTGTTTGGACTTGGAAGTTCGACAGAGTCCTTCAACTTCAGTTGGGGTGCCGGTGCCCTATCGGGGTGGCTCAAAGAGAATCAACAGCAACTGTTGAGGCATTTTGAGGCTACCCTTTGGGGAATGGGAAAAGCAAAGCTGGAAAAACGTGAGTGCTGCTTGATCTTGAGACGCCCACCCTGTTTCAGCCTAAACCTACGGTAATTACAGCGGAACAGCCAGCCACCTCTAGCGGTCCCTGACCGACCCCTTCCACAAACCCAAGGCGCATGCGGCTGGGCCGGTGCCCTGAAGGTGCAACAAACCACCAGCGACTTCGGGCCAAATGAGCCCGGGCCTCGACTTCGCGCTTTGCCTCATGGCTTAGTTGGAGACAGGAGCCAGAAACCAATGCAACCCAAACAGCCCCCAAACCGGACCAAACCACGGCAAAGCTGCCAGCCATATCTCTGCGAAAGCCTCGCCTTCTCCTTCAACTTCTCGAGCTCCTCGAGCATTTGCTTGAGCTCCTTGATCCTCGCGGCTCTCGCGGGTCCCGCGGTCTCCGGGTTTTTCGGGGGAGGGAGGGGCTCTCTTGCGCGCAAGATTGGACAATCGCATAGTGCCCAACACGCGAGCTGACTGTTGGTTGTAACGAGAAAGGCTTGCGTAGGCCTTACTATAACCTTCACGAAACCAGCAGAACCGCCTCAAATGCGGGCATCGGTTTGGCACTGCTCATATTGAATCCAACCTTCGGCCCTCCATGCGACATGTCGCATGCCAAACGGCGGCCCTGAGTCGATTTCTGAGATCTTTCGGGCTTCTTCCGACCATTGCCCAGGTTGGAGGAGGGCCACCCAAGATCCAAGTGGAAAAGCCGGGTGCTGTGGATGGTTGCAAAATCCCCGAGTCTTGCACCGCCCATCAGAAAACCAGGTTTCGGATTCGCTTCCCCAACGTCAGTACCAACAAGCAATGGCTTCATTTCGTGCTGCGAGAAGCAGATTTCGCCACCATCCGCCGTATGTGTGTTTCTCTCGCCCGGATGCGATCCCTGGCGTCCCTGGCTTTCCGGGTTATGAACCCACACGCTAAGCAAAGAAGTCATCCAAATCAACCGGATCCGGCCTCTTCTTGGTGTCCTTCTCATTCTGCACCACATCCCTGGCATCATTCTGGGTCCATGAGACTGACAAGTGGACCGCGCCACGTTGCTCTCAAACTATAACCCCCAAAATGGGTGGCTTGCTCTGTTTCCCTTAAAAGCCCAAAAAGCGTCAAAAAAAAGAAGAAATAAAAAACGACGAGCCGCTCGACTCCCACAATGGAAGTTGCTCTGGGATCTTTACGGGACCCGAAACATTGCACTGTCGGATCCCGAAAGGAACCTTCATAAGCTCTGCCCAAAGGATCGGGGAAAGGGTGAACCTGAAAATCTGTGTAAATTATAATATTTCACCAGCCTGAAATAAGGTGGTTGCGGCCCCATTCCCCACATCAACCACCATTTGGGGTGCGGAGGTCGCTAATTCACCCAGGAAAATGCTAAACCGCGAAAATGGGACACTGGAAAACCCAGAAACACCACCCAGGTGCATACGCCCCCCAAAATGGAGGGGCTTTCCTGCTGGTGGAAAAGGTCATGTTTTGAATTTGGAGAAGTTGTATCTTCGGAGCCCTGGTGACAAGGTCGGCGTTGGGCACATCTTCCGCGCGTGGCTTCGCATCGCCCCTGCTCCCCACTTCGCACCCACGGGCCTCAAGGCTTGCTGGTGCTTCTCTTTGGCCTCCTGTCAGGCTTTGTTCGCTGAGTTGGTCCGGCTATGGCACGGGACTTCGGTCGCGGCACGATCGTCCCACCCAAAATGAGGGTTGCATAGTCCAAGCCAACGATAGTGCCGCGGCACCAAAAAAGAGGGGAGAAACACAGGAGCGACACGAATCGACCAGGGCTCCTTTCACTCAGATTGGTGTTGGCCTTGTGATGAGGAAATCAACTTGGACCCATTCAACAGGGCTCCCACGCTACGTTTGGACCAATCCAAGCGGGAGGTCCCCTTTTCCGTAGAAATCACATCCCTCCAATCCCTCCATCCCACGCCCGTCCTTCTCCCGCTGCTCTGCGAGCTTCTTGGCCTCCAAAGACTCCATGAGCCACGGGGTTTGCAGCTTGGCAAGTCTCATCAGTTGGCCAGGGCGTCGGGTGGAAAATCCGGGGCACCAGTTGATGGATACCCGATTTGGACACTGGGACACACCAAAAGTGGCGCGAAGCAGATTTGGTCCGCCAGTAGCTCCATTTTTTGAGATAGGGAGAGGGGGCATGCGTCACCGGAGATGTTGCCTTCAAGGTGAGACAAAGTGTGTCGTGCAACTTGTTCAAAACAAAGCTGCTCCTTAAGTCCCCTGGAAAAATCAAAATATTTCCGGTAGTGAAATCGATCCCCTCCAAAACCAACAGGGGAAATAAAGACAAAAAAAGAAGACACATTTCAGCAGATGGAAGTAGTCCCTAGGCCCTCTGACCCCATCCAGTCGCTGTCCTGACCCTGTGGCCTCCTTCTCCAGCTTCTTGATCTCCCACTCTTCCAACGCTGGAGCCACAGGCTTGGTCTGGCGGGCTCGCCCGTTCGGACGGCTTGGCCGTGTCAACCAAAAAAAATCCGCGGCATGATTTTGTGGCCCTGCGGAGACAGACGGCCCCCTTTCTTCAGCTGTCATTCTCTAATTGTTTGGGTCAGCCTTCTTGTCCCCAAACTGGGCCATAGACCCTAAAATCTTGAACAAACCTGCAATCTGGTTACTACGGTGATGCCTTAAATATTGCAAGTACCAGCCAAAAACCATGGACAATCACAGGGTGTCCCTTGTTTTCTACTTGCAATATTTCAGGCATCCACAGTAGCTGCTCTTCCGTTCGCATGTCCTGCCAAATTGGAAATCCATGGAGATTGTCACCAACGGTGGTTGCGATACTTTTTCCCCACCTCTTGGAACTAACCCTGGACCTGGTTGAGGGTACAGTGAAAATCATGCTTCTATTATTCTGCGAACTAAAAACTTGAATAAATCTACATGGGTCCAACAGGCGGATATTTTTTGAGGACACCAGAATAAGGGCATTTCCCACTTTTGAGGTGAGAACGTCACACCTGAATTCGGGTACCCACCACTTTTGAGGTGCAAACCCGGAAAATCACGGCCACTTGGTTCATTTGGACAGACTCCCTGCCTCCCAGGGCTCGGTGCGCTCGCGCTGGGGCCCTTCAGGGATGGCCACCTGTCGGACAAATCGGCCTGTGGGCTGTGGAGGGGGGGGGAAGCCCACACAACTTGGTGGCGCCCCTGTCAATTCTTTAGAACCCAACCCTCCCTATATGGCCACCCAAACGGAACGCAAACTACAAGCTGGGCCAAAACACAAACATCAGTCTCTTGAGTTTCCGATTAAAGGCAACCTGAAAAGGGGGTCCACTGTCATAGCGGTCAGCTCTGTGGAGACGGGTGTTTCTCAGACAGCCAGGTGCTCTCTCGAATAGCTGAGGTTCGATTTCTCAGTTCTTGCACATCAGCCGCCGGCTCATCAAGCCAGCGCACAAATCAGAGGTGGCGGAAGAACGGGCCCACCATGATGTTGTTTTCCTTTTACATATTGTGTTGAAGCCAACTAGGGCATGAGCCACGTTGAGCCATATCTTGCCCGATGCGATAAATGTATGGGTCCATTTCCGCATAGGGAGACCGCCCCAATGTACTTTTGAGAACTTAACGTCTTCAGTTTTCAGGGCACTGTCCCAAACAGTCGCAAACAAAGCAGAGCTTTTGGACCCCACAGCCGTCGGAGAAAAAGGGAGGCTGCATTTCAAAATTCCGGACCCGGACACCAGCGCCTCCCCGCGCATCATGGCAGCCACAGTGCCAGCGCCGCCGCCCTCCGCATTCCTGGAAATACAAAAGAACATGGGCCTCCCCAACCCCGTCTTGGGTTCCACCGTAATTTGGCGGGGAGTACAATCATTGTCAGGGTTCCCATCATGAGACCAACAATTGCTTTTGTGAAGACACTTGGCTATGGAACCCACTAAAAACCCCCCAAAAAAAAACGGAAACTCGAGAGTACGGTGCACCAAGCATACTCAACCAACAACCATGATAAATCACAGTGGATTCGAGAGAATCCGTGTTCAGTCCAGTAGTGAAGTCAATTTCCTTTAAAACCAATCAGGGGATTGTTTTAACAAAAATTGCCAGAGGCTCCTGGGGCTTTCAATGGAAGACCCGACCCCTCTACTAGACACCCCGGAGGTGGTTGGGAGTCTCAAAACCAGGTTGTCTCAAGGCCCTAAATCAATCGGGAGCCTCTGGGTTTGTTAAACTAAAACAAACATTCATTTTCAGCAAATCAGCAAATGCAAAGGCCGCCGTTGCGAAGGCCTAGAAGGAAGCACTGTCCGCTTCTGAATCAGAAGGAAAGTTCTCATCGCGGAGGCTTCACTCGAGGCTCAGGCTCTCCATCGCCAGAAGGTATCTCATGTGTTGTTGTTGCAAAAAAAAAACACTTGTTTTGTGTGTGTGTGTGTGTTGTTTGTGTGTATTGTTGGAAGTTCGGACTTGCCTTCTACTTTCACCCAACTCTTCTCTGGGTCAAGCAATCTTGGTCGAGCCGTTTCCCTCCCAAGCTCGAGCGTCGGCTTTGTGAGGCGTGCCGTCAACGGGCTGCTCCCATTCGACCGAATCGATCGTCACCGTGAGGTTTGGTGAGGATCGGAGCAGAATGCACTGCCCTGTGGGCTACTGAAGTAAGCGGGAAACAGGATGAGCCCTCTTTGGCCCAAATGGGACAACGTGGCACTGAAAAAGTCATGCAACTGCTGATGTTGAGAAATGTGATGACCCATATCGGCGAACCCCCGACAAAACACATAGGGAAACCGTGGCTTTTCAAACATCTGCCCAACAATTCATCCCATGGTGGTATCCCCAACAGCCCCGAGCCTCCGGAACCCTCCCTGAAAGCTGCTCCAAACCCCAGAGCCTGTCTGGGCAGAGACCCCCGAAAAAAGGGGGTAAAAGGGCACTACTGGAGGACCTAGCCAAGGCTTTTGGGGGAAAACCAAGGCGATTGGCGTGGACCGAAAGCACCAGTCTACCCTCCCCGCCTCGGGCGGTACGCGTTGGTGAGGGGCACGTGCCCGGACCCCGGCGCCAGCGCGGTGGGCAAACCTCGTTCCGGTGACGTCGAGGTTTCGGTTTTTTTTGGCTTGAGGTTGAAACACCAAGAAACCGTCCTGGCAGGGTCCCCAAAAATTTTGAGACACTCATCTAGGTCCTCCAGTAGAGAGGTTAGAATAAGGCTTCCCTTTTTTCTGTAGCCTAGTCATGAAAGTCCACTTAACCCTTTCATCGCCTTCGGAGTGGTCAAAGGGACTGTCCATCGAAGGAGTCACCTGACAAGGACAAATCAAGGGGTGCTGTGAAATCTTGTGAGGACCCGTAAGCCACCTGAATCAACGACACAATCATCCACTTTCTTCCCCACCAGCCATAGCTGGTTCAAAGCACCGTGGCTCGAAAGTAGCAGCTTGGCAATCTGGGTGCCCTCACGCCGACAGACTTGGGGGCAACATGGATGAGACATGGATAGGATAGGACCAAGCAGGAACCCGTAAAATCCCAAAACCACCGGCCCCAGCCCACCATGGGCACTTAGAGCATAGTTTGCAGCACCTCCCCAATCCTATCCTAAAAACCAGTCCCTCCAAGAAGGTTGCTCCAAAATACCCCAAACCTTCCAAAGACCCGGTTAAACTGGGTTGTTGGTGGAGAAAAACCTCCTACCTACCCTAAGTGTCCGCCCCCCCCCCTCCCCGCCGTGCCTTTCACTCGCTTCTCCCCATCTCTTGGCGGGCTCGCCGCCCGATCCTCGATCCACGGGCCAGAACCCTCCTTCGGATGTTAAGACGAAACTCGCCATATGGGTATGAAATTTAATGAGGGGTCCTCTGGTGGACATCATTTAGGTGGGGAGAATTGTGGCCAAATGTTTGGGAGGGGGTTTCCCAGCCATATGGGACTCTGTTCTATTGATGCCCCCCTTTTAAAAGGGAAACCACTGAAAAAACGCCACTCGAAGCCAGGCCACTTCCCGGACCCAGAGTCCCTTACAATTGACATGTCTCCCCACGGCAACGGAACATCCGGAAGCACTACAGATTCTCCGAGGTCTGAAAAGGACAACGCTGTTCAGGTAATCACGATGGTTCAAAATGGGGAATCAACCCCTAGAATTGCATCTCAAAGCACAAGCCAGCTCAAAGCCTCCCCCGCACGACAAAGCTGCGTCCACTGGCCCACCGCCTTTCGGTGGCTCTGAACTAGGCGCATCGCGAAACCGAGGGTACCTTCTGGGCAAATTTTAGCATGCACCAAATCCCCACCCTCCGTGAGGTTTGCAGCCCTGTGCGTGAGGCTACGATACTTGGCCCCAGATCTTTGGAGTGACAAACTTCGCCGCAGGACATCCTCATTCTTCGGGGGCGACGGAAGGGGGACATTTCCGGTAACGCAGCAAATGCTATTGTCGTTTGTTACAAGCTGTAACCTGGTTGAGATCCAGTTCGTCCCCCCAATTTCTTCAAAACGAATGTCCAAACCTGCAAGCCCGTCATCCGAAGGCGGCGACCCAAACGGGTCGCCGGGGCGCGCTTTTTTTGTGGACCAAGAAAGACTTAAACCCCGGGAGTCTTCCCGGTACTGTGGACAAAATCCATTTCGCACCACTTTGAAAAAAAGGGAAACCACTGTTTGTTGGTATTTACAAGGGAATCATCTTGCCTGGGTCTCTGAGGTGGTGCGAAACGGATTTCGCAACCATCCACAGTATGTTGGTGAACTCACCAACCCCAGGGCTTTGTTTTACCCCCAAAGCCCCAAGCCGCGCCTCGTGCTTTCCAATGCTTGGCCGCCAGCGCGCAGCGAACAGAAGCGCCTGCGTCTTAGTCCTGGAGTTTGTTCACGCGCTCGCTCTCGCAGGTTAGCAGGGCTTCGCCCTACACTCGGCACACAGCTTGGCTTCAAAGCAACCCCTAGTTGGGTGCTCGATTCGCCGAGTTAGTAAGTTGTTTTTGAATAAGCCCCCCAAAGTGAGCTTAACCTTGTCATGAGGGAGTTCTTCCGCAAGTGGCCAACCACTTACTAACTTGGCGAATGCAGTCCGAGTATGGAACCAAACACCTTCCAAGCTGGAGCCTTAAAGCAGCCTTTGCCTCATTGGCCCATGAACAGCTTGAGCTGAAAATCCCTCCAGGTGGGTGGTTGCCACATGCCTTGGGTCAAAACCCAAATCGTACCCCCAGTGAACATCCCAATCCCCGCTAAAATAGGTTCTAAAATGGGTGGTGCACCTATCCCAAAATGGTATCCCATGGCCACATCTCGGCGCACGTCGTGGACGAAACGAAACCCGATAAAAAACGCGCCTGGCACCAGCGCCGGTGTCTTCGTGGCGAGCCGCCACGAAGTCCGGCTTGAAGTCCTCAAACGAATGGATATGTCCGGGAACCCTCCGCCGTAACACAACATGGAGTCACAATTGGCTGGCCCTTTTCAAAACAAAGGATGGAGCAACCCTTGGTTGAAACAACCACTTCTCATGAAAGTTGATTTAGAGCTTAAGCCACTTTAAACCACGTGAACCTAGGAAAAATTGGGAAACGTGCGGAGGTTGTGGGGTGTGACTAGTAGCTAAGGGCCCAAGCAACTTTTTGCTTGCTCCTGGACTCCTGGCTGATTTGTTGGTTTTGTAAAGTGCACCCACCCGTGCCAATTATGGCATCCTGTCACTTGTTCGAGGGAATTCGAGTTTCGCCCAGGGGCGATCTTCAGGATGGCCTCGCCAGTGTACCTGAGAGAATGTGGGTGTGTTTCGAGAGGAGGGAGGGCCGAAAGAATTGGAACGGGGTATGATGGGGTTGGGTACTTTTAAAACCATTGTAGTAAGTATGCTCAACTACCGGTGTGTTTGGCCCTGTTGGCTGGGTTTAAAGGGATGTCAACAAAAAACACTTTGGAGGTACCCGATTCTGAGAGTAGCCGCCTTTCCTCATGGTATTTGACATACTCAGAACCTTTTTGGGAAATATCTCCTGAAAGAAAATTCCCTTTGAGTCACAATCGCAACCTGAAATTAAAGAAGGCCCAGAACCGTGCCATGAGGCGCCAATACCCTAGCCAGGTCTCTGGATGTTGGGATCCTACCCGGGTGGGTCCTCGTATGGAACTCAGTGAATGCTAGCCCCAAATTACGTGGAAACTCGGTAAGTGTCCATGGATCGGACCCGTGGATAGCCAAACAAAACAGATACGTCGGCGAAAACCACAAGGATCGCTTGGTGTAAAGGCATTCTGGTCGCTGCCTCTCCGTGAATCTGTGGTTCCAGGGGGAGTTTTGAAAGCATCCCAGTCTTCGGGCTCCAAGTCAGCTGTTGCCCATTGGCTATGTTGGGTCTGTCGCCAACTGGGTTGGTTTCCTTTTCGACAAGGACGAGTCGCAGCGTCGCCTCCTAACACACGCATACCATGTCTGTTCGTCACATTGCATGGCATCACACGGCGGAACCCGGAGCACTTGTACACCGTGATCTGATTGCCCTCGTTCATGCGCGGGGCCACCGTGGCAGCCATGAAGTGCCTCAAACCATGTGGCGCAAACAACCCGAAGTGTGTGATACCGTGGATGGACGAAATCCTACACCACTTTGAAACTATGGGAAACCATTGTTTGTTGGTATTTACAGGTGAATCATCCTTCTAGGATTTCTTAGGTGGTGCAGGATTTTGTCCATCCACAGTACCAAAGCACGCCATGCCCATGACCACTTTATTATTTTAAAGGGGAGTCATGTATCACAGACAGAAAGGCACCGTTAAAAAAAAAAACTCATTTTCGACCATGCATGATTGGAGAAGCACCCGGATTTTAAGAACCGGGCCCAGATTTATGCAGACGGGTCTCTGTCAGGCTTCTTAGTATAACCAACCAACACCCGGACCTCTAGTGGTGCGAGGAGATTCGCTCCACCGCAAATTCGGAAGGGAAACTGGATGGCGTGCGCCATGATATGATCCGGGTCACACATGAAGGGGGCCGCCGGAAAAGTGCAAAGACCCACGAATGGGAATCCCCGCCACTTTTCTGAGCAACACCCATGCCAAAAAAGGACTCCTACAAAAGGCGGCACAAAGATCCTATTTTCCATAGGCACCATGATCTCCATGAAACCGGGCAGTAGAACTCCCTCCAGAGTGGCCAGGGGCTCGCATCTACTTGGTGCATCCTTTGCTGGCTTTTGCCACCTTCACCCAGACATCCCAACCATGTTATTTTGGAACAACACTGGACCAAACTTGGAACAACCCCACAAAAAGTGATCCACTTTTTGCCGCTTGAAAGGGGAAATTATGAAAACCAAAAGGAAAGACACCGTCACGCTTGACTTCGCTGCCCGCCCCCCGCCGAAGCAAAGGCGGACAGTTATAAAGGAAAGACACCAAAAAGCAAACCTGGGACGTATCAAAACCTGGTATTAAAATGGTCTACCCAGAACCGTATAAAGAGTTGACGAGGCGGTACCCGGGTTTTGAGGACTTGGCTCAGCTGAGCTTTGCAAAGAGCGGCGGAAGGCCAAATCGTCAAGTTGGTGCTAAAGTGCCTCACCCCATTCTAGTAGCTCAGGCCCAATTGTACTATGTTCTTGCACTTTGATGTGGCTGCGCTTTCTCTCTTCTTGCCACATGCTCCTATCCACTGCCCGGATAGAAATTGGGTTATAGCTAAGTTATATCTCCCAACTGGAGTTTGCACCCTTCTCGGTGCTAGGACGAGTAAAGACTTACTAACTGCAAACCACAAATCCACGTAATATGCCCTTACGAAAAGGAAAACAGCCATCTCACCCAAAATGGCTGGAAGCGCTGTCAAATTCAACACTTGCAAGAAAGACCAACTTGTGTCGGTCTCTGGTTGCAACTCCTGTAACACACATCAGGCCAAGAAAGAAACCCGGGTTTTGGGTCGCGAAGCATGTCGCGAATCATTTTGCCCCTCTTGATGTAGCGAGCCCTGGGCAAAACTGGTCGCAGCCGGGTCCCGGGTCGCAGGTGCCAGGTGCAATTGTAGAGAAAGGATAGACTTTAGAATCGATGAATTCTGATGGGACCCAGATGACAAATCAAGCCCTGGTTCGTTGGACTGTTACATGAAAAAAAAACTCCATTCCAGGGAGCCGTTTGTTTTCAAACAGAGACATATGTGGAAAAAAACAAAAACAGGAAGTAATCTCAGTGAACTTTTACATGTAGCAAAATTTCAAGAGAGATCACACCAAACACTTCCAGGTTAAGACCCTGGAGAAAAAAACATATGTCCAGTCTTTAAAACCAACAGGGGAAAATAAATAAATAAATACATAAATAAGCAAATGGAAGGAGATCCTACCAAAAAGGGGCCACCCCCTCGGCTCTGCCCTCGGCCCTGCGCTCGGCTCCCCCAACTCCTCGCCTGCCGTCCCCGAACCAGGAGCAGTCCACGGTGAGCGCCGCACGCAGCGACGCCACGGTCTCGTCCTTGCTGCGATCCTCGGACGTCGCCCCTTCACCCCTTCACCCCTTCACCACTTCACAAAATCAAGAAGGGCAGCGGTTTTTTTGAGGGCAGCGTTTTTTGCGTTTGAAGCAAGACACAAAAAAGGATTCCCTTTCTCGGAAGAAGATCTCAAAGGGACCGAAAAATGTATGGGACCCCTTCAACCCCCCCCCCCCACCGGCCATTTTGACCTTTTGCCGCTTCGCGCCTTTTGGGACGGCACCGGGACGGACCCCGGGGCACCGGGGCACCGGGGGAACTGGGCGCCCGCGCGTAGAAGTCCAGATCCCCCGGCAGCGTCCCAAAACCGGCGACAGCCACGAAGCGGCCAAAGGGGTTCCTCGCAGAGGCATCCCTGGAGTCTTTTGTCTTGCCTGGATCGCCGCTTGCTGTTTTTGTTTGTCCATGCCATGCACTTTACCCCAAAAGCCAGCAACAGTGACTGAAGAAAGCAGCAACTTGGCTATCTAGGTTTTTTTTTGCGGGTACCTCGGGCGGTTAATGCAAAAAAAAGGAAAGGGAAGCCCCATCAAAAAACAAAAGGAAACCACAAAAAAGAGCTCTTCGATTTTTTTTGGGGGGGGACCACTTGGTTGGCCCCCCTAGTTGGATGGCTTCCTGGGCTTGGACAGGGTGCCAGGGATTGCGTTTGCTAGACAAAATGCGATTTGTTCGGCTGCTTTAAAGGATTGCCCTTGTAAAGCAAGGTAGTTTTGTTGGATGCTTTGTGAGGGCCCCCGTGGGACTCAGCGATCTTTATCCCTTCGGGCGATTTACCCAACTGTTTAAAGGCCATGGGCTTTCTTTTCAGTGTCAGGAGACCTCCGGATTGTTCAATGGCTGTGAAAGGGGAGAAGGGGTAAACCAGCCAGTCGCTATTTTGGGCTTCCCCCTTTTTGGGGCGCAACAAATTCTACAGAACTCTGGGACGACTACATCCCGGGTGGGTGACAGGGCTGCTGCTTCGAACAACCTGAAATAGATCCAGAATTGACCAGTGCTCCTGTTTTCTGGGGACATGTGCCCATGGTTTCTTAATAAAGGCAAATTGGGCTACCCAACCCATTCTTTCTGTGGGCCTTGATTTAGGCCCTTGTACCAGGAGCTTATTTCGGGGAGTCGGAATTCTGCTGGCTTTGGACTTGATTTGGGCACATTTTGCGGAACGCGCAACCCTACTCAGAGGGGTATAGTTTGACTAACCGCCTACGGCCATGGGAAATACCTCATTTTTGAGTCAGGGGATGACATCATGCCCTAACAAGGTTCTTTCTCTGCCTCATTTTTTGATGGGCCAAAAACGTCTAAACTTTTTGAGAGCCACTAAAGTGGTATTCCCAAAAAGAAACTAAAGTCTAGAAACTCAGGACCACATGGGGATTGATCACCCCCAAATGACCATAGGCAACTGTTCCCATTCAGTGGGAAAGTCAAATCTTGTTGGTTTTTTACCCTAATGGTCATCCCATGAGGACAATTTGATCGAACGCCATACACTTGTTTAAGCTACTTTTTTGGAGTTTTAACGGAGAACCAAGATGACAAACGAAGCCATTTGCGGGGTCCAACCAAAACATGACACACCTATACGCCTGTGGCTCAACAAAAGGTACACAAAATGGTCCCTTGCTAGATGAAACAAAGACTAAAGCTCGCAAAACGGCTCAGGAAACCATTTTGAGAGCCACTTTTTTTGGACCGTTTTTTTGTTTACCGCTCAGAAGACCATTTTGAGAGCCACTTTTTTTTTGGACCAATTTGTTGTTTCCCGCTCAGAAGACCATTTTGAGAGCCACTTTCTTTTTGGAGCGATTTCTTGTTTACCGCTCAGAAGACCATTTTGAGAGCCACTTTTTTTTGGACCGATTTTTTGTTTACCGCTCAGAAGACCATTTTGAGAGCCACTTTTTTTTGGACCAATTGTTTGTTTCCCGCTCAGAAGACCTTTTTGAGAGCCACATTTTTTTTGGACCAATTGTTTGTTTATCGCTCAGAAGACCATTTTGAGAGCCACCTTTTTTTTGGACCGATTTTTTGTTTACCGCTCAGAAGACCATTCTGAGAGCCACTTTTTTTTTGGACCAATTGTTTGTTTACCGCTCAGAAGACCATTTTGAGAGCCACTTTTTTTTGGACCGATTTTTTGCTTACCGCTCAGAAGACCATTTTGAGAGCCACTTTTTTTTTTGCTTTTTTTGGTTTCACCCCAAGCTGCTTTTGCTCCGCTCTGATGCCCCTGGGTCTCCGGGCCACTTCAGGGTGTTCCGCTTCGACTGGCCCAGGCTCTTCTCGAGCTTCCCTCAGCTGCCAGGGCGCCCATGAGGCATCCGGGTGCCTTTTGGTGTGCCTTTTGGAGAAAGGGGACCTCCCCCCTCCCCCAAAAAAAAGGCGCAACCTGGTGGCTGTTCAGAGTTCCGAAGTGGGTGCCTTTAAAACAACCAAAAGGGGGGCGGGGGGGGGAACCCCCTAAGAAAAGGATGGTTTTTGCAAAAAATAAATAAAAATGGGGGATTGTTACCCATTTCGGCGCTGTAAGGGAAATTTGGTGTAAGGGAAATTTGGTGTAAGGGAAACCAAAAGGACACCACCCATTTTGGGTTTCCCCAATTTTGAGAACCCAATTGGCCTTTCTGTTCATGTTGGGACACGAAGCTTTGGACATGGGGCCAAAGCAGAGCTTGGCCCGAGACTAAACTCCCAGGGTTCTGGGAGCCATTGTGGCTTCGAATCAGAAGACGGGCTTCGTGTTGTACCCAAAAGCGGCCGGGCGGCGAATTGGTTGCCTCCCCTGGTTTTTGGGCCAGAGGTAAAGGGAAGCAATGCAAGGCTGGCGGGCCCACAGTTGCCCAGTGGCACCCCTTGCTTTCTTTGTTTAGATCAATGAGCAAAAAGGGTGCCACAAATTGTCCCATCTCCGCTGTGGCAACATGTCCAAACACTAAACAACTAGTTGCCGTGCAAACATGCCGAAACAACTATTGCACTATTGCTGAAACACCAACCTTTGGTGGGTTAAATGGAACCCCCCACAAAACCCTAGAAAGCTAAAACGCTAAACCGGATGGCTGGGAGCCACCAAGCTTTGGTTTTCCCAAGGGAAACAAAGCCGAGTTCAACCTATGCCGCACGGGTTTTTCGGGCAAAGTAAGCCTCCAGCCGGTGGCACCACTGTAGAGGTTCATGGCTGCCGGCAGCATGCCCACAATGACCATGAACTCGTTGCTGCAGGGCGACCAGGCCAAATCCTGACGCACCAAACGGTCAGCTCCCCTCTGACTGGTGGTTTGGATTGGTGGTTTGGTGGTTAAGAGGGGTCAGGTGGCCCCTCTTGAGATCTTTGGACCCTGGTGCCGCCGGTACGTGCCGCCGGTCGAAGAAATACTAAAAAGCAGCCCTAAGTTTGACACCTTGCAATAAGTGAAGTGCGCCCCCCTTTTACCCCGAACACAGAGGTCGGGCTCCTTTCAAATCTTGGGGCAAGTTTGGACTCCATTGAGCAACGCAGTGAACCTCAAATTACAAAAATTGCCGGTCAGAACGGGGTGATCAGTTGTGGACACCTCCAAGGGTTGCTTAGGGAACCCGTGGGGCAAACAGAATCCAGGACGGCAGCCACCCCACGGGACGGGCGCCGTACCCCCTGGTTTTAGAAATCCCATCGAGGGAAGCCTTCCATTTTGGGAGGAAACACATCCTCGAATTCATCTGGGGTTCTCTGTTCTCACAAAACTGTGACAGTTGTGATGTATCCGGGAGGAACTGTAGCCTGTTCCTTGTTTCGAGCCATGGTCTCTCTGCGGCTCTGGCTTTACAGCTCTGATCTCTTAATCTTCCACGCACCAGCTGCAATCAGTCATGTGTATATAGTAGAGAGAGGGAAAGAGAGATACAAGTATCAAGTAGCATTCTGACAAAGTACATGGAGCAAGCGAATACAGTAGTCACATCCGCTTCGGATCTTTGGGAATGTGGTCGAAGAGTCGAAGACGATGGCCCTACCTACAGGGCATCTGTTTTGGCGCCGAAGGCTGGTACCATTGGCCTGGGAACTTGCGAACTGCGACCAAACCGGGGTGGGCGGTGGATTTCTCGAGGTGAAAGCTCCAGAGTCCACTGCTAAAAACGGTGCTTTTGTCTGGTGGTTGGTCCTTTTTCATGCCGGGGCGAAAGCCTAAAACGAGGAAATCATCTAACAAAATTGACATGGAGCTCAAAAAAAGGGCTGCCCAAAAGGAGGTTCCTCTCAAGAACATGGTCTTCCAGCTTCCGGGAAGAGCGTGGATGTTGGACAACCCAGCAACCGCATGGGTTCCCTGTCGACCGGTTTGGATTGCTCAGCCGCCAGGTTTCCCCAGAAAGCGTAGAAAAAAATTGCCTGGGCCACCATGGCCACCCAAAGTCCGGCTTCTCTCTACGTGGTTTGGAGGTTTGGAGCTGGGGATGATTCCTATTCGTCCCGTACAAAAGCCAGGGGCTGCAGTCTATTTTAGTAGGGGACTCCCTCGAAAAAAGCTAACAGGGCACCTAGCTGGGGGACTTAGAATCGCTCAGCTCCGGAATCCGATCTTCGCTCCGACGTCGTTTCGCTTCGCTTCTTTTCGCTTTGTCCTGCACCAGGCCCTTGTCCACTCCGCACACCTCCATCTTCTTTCTCTCATCCGGCTTCAGCCAGTAGAGGTACGTGCCTTCGGCTCGGATGCGAAGAAAAAAAATGCCAGGCGGTTTTCGGTTTCCGAGAAACCCGCCGAGCCACCAAGGGAAACGGCTTGGATATTGCCTCAAAATAGAGTGGGGAGGGGGGGGGGGGCGAATTGCCTGCAGCGTCCGAAGAAAACAAACAAAAACCGTGCCTCGCAATGAAATCCGGCACCCATTTGTCAAGTTGGAGAACCCTGTTGGATACGACCAAATCAACGAATCGAAACCCAGTATTTGAAGGGATCCCCAATTCTTAGCCACTAGAGACTGCACGTGTAACTCAGTTGGCTTTGAGGGACCCAGAAACACAAGGTGATCACCCTTGGGGGCCACTAAACATGGACCAAGGGGAACATAGACCGTGAAATCCGGTCGATTCGCTTTGGCCCAGTCTTCAAAGCCATCCTTTTGCTTTAACCTGCAAAGAGTACAAACATGGCACCTGACAGAGGGTCCCTTGAAGAGCCCTCCCGACCGAGGAGCTCCTAACCCGGCAAAAAAAAACCTTATCAGCCCCCCCCCCCCCCCGCAAAAAAAAAGAAGCTGCGGTTTTCCTGTTTCCCTCTTTTTCAAGGGGGTACCCTCGGCAAAAGACACTCTTTTGGTGAGCCCTGAATGGCATGCCCGGAAAATGCAACTTGCCGCACTTCCCAGCTGGTCGTTATAAGTGGTTGGCAACCTAGGCTACAATCTCTTACAAGTCCCCCATTCAGTGGGGTTTAACCTTGTTCCAAGGGAGCTTTTCACACAAATAGCTGTGGCTCAAAAACTTGTACCAAAATTGCACCTGGGTAAATGGAACAAAAGACTAAAACCCGCGTCACCCTGGCTGTTTATTTTTGAGCCACAGCCAAATGGTGCCTTTTTCCACTCACCAACTTGACGCAGCGAACCTCGTTCAAGCGTGTCACCTGAAACCAAGGCACTCCCGAAGTACGAGTTCCCCGACTCGTCCACATCACTCATGGCCTCAAGAAGGAATCGAATCGATCCATGGGGCCTGGAAAGCTGAAAGAAAACACATTCCCGGCGCCGAGTCGCCCCCCAAAAGAAGGGCCCCGAAAGGGTGGGGGTGGGTTGGGGGGAGGGGGGTGGGGGGGTTCGGGGGGGTAGGAAAAACAAGACCTTGCTCTAGGGGGTACCTTCCAATCTTTCCAGGGAGCTGGATCTTTCTAAACCTCCGGAAACCCGATCGGGAACACGGATCCGGTTTTTGGAAAGGAATCAACCCCTAGAGGTGCGCTTATATTAACCCCATTGACCGACCCCGATTGAGGAAGCCCAAGCAAAAAACCAAAAACCATCCACAATATTGGCACACATTTGCACACTCCTACGACTGAAGGATGGTGATGGCAACTGGACCCCCGGGCACAGACGGCCGTTTGCGGTTTTTGACCGAATGCAAGACCGCAAGACAGAAAGGAAATGGCGGCTGTGCCGCAAAATCGCTCCTTGGCTCCGAGCCATTGAAAGGTCGAAAGGTTTCGCTAGCGTTGTGACCCCAGACAGGCAAACAGAGAAAATCGGCAACAGATATAAAACAATAAACACAGAACAAAATGCAGCCACACTTCCGGAGCAAACCAGGCATCCAAACTGTGCACTTGTTTTTGTGTGGCATCCTTTGGCTTTCTTTTGGTTTTGTGTGCTGTTGTTTTTGCATGCGTGTTGTGTTGCCTTGTTCTTTCTTCTGGTGTGTATTTTGAGTGTATTTGCTTTTGTGTTGTTTTTTTTTCCGATTTGTTGTATCTTTTGGTATCTCCCAATCATTGCCTCCGCGAAAGTCTTATCGCAGCCTTACTTACGAAGGCTCCATTGCCGTTTGCAACAGGCCGACTTCTTTTGCGGCGCCCGGGTTCCGTGACCCGGCCAGGCTGGGTGGCAGTTTGCTCGTTGGGTGATGACACTTTGCTGGTGGGGAAACTGTCAACAAATCGATGCGGTCTGCGCGTGCACAGCAAGTAGCCGTGCAGCGCTCGGCCAAGCACAAATCAAAAAAAGGTTCAAGGACAACCCCCGCGATATGAAGTTTGTAATACATTGTGGTCGCCTGGGGTGGTTTCAAACAATGTGCGCCGCATCTTGCTGCCCCTTCATTGAAGTTCACGCAAACTGCAATGGATCTAGAGCCAATGCCGGGCAAACCCGACACAGCCACAGCCATAGCCAAGCGATCCTTTCTGCGCCAGCTTTGCGGCTCCTCAACTGTAAATGCCCGCTCCCTGCGCATCCCAAGCGCAGCCGCGGGCAAGCTACCAAAAAGCGCGATCCTGACAGAATCGCAAAAAAAAAGATCTGTAAGCCACGGGGACCACGGGCCCTCACCGCCACATGATTTCAAACGAGATATCTTCTCGCGGCACCACCAAATCGACCGGGTGGTCTCGGTGCCGTCATGGGCAGATTCTCCGGCCCGATATGCTTCCACAGAGTGGGGCCAGCTCAAGCACTGTGTAAACAACAACTAAAGCTCGGATTTCTTTCTATCAAAGTCCTCGGCTTTCACATCGGCCAAATCATCCTTACTAGGTTCTGGCCCAGTTCACAGACTTGCCGCCGGCCCCATCCATTCATGCGCCCCCCCATGCAATTTCGTTGGCGACCTCCGTCTTTTTCTTGTCGCAGCTAGGCGATCTCAGAGGACTCTGTCCCCGAGTCGGCCTCGAGGTGCTTGAACTGCTTGACGCCAAGGAGACCCTCCAGCCACGATGCCACACCACCGTTGGACTTCTTGTCCTAAGTGGAGCGCCCGAAACCCGACCTGTGCATTTGCGGGAAAAAGATGGTGGACTTGCTTTAGTTGGTCTAGGGAAACCTTCGGGTGGAAAGGACAGGTGTGGGGCTACACAAGGAAACCAGGCGGTAGAACCACCAGCTCAAATGCTCCAGGGCGCAGCCATATTTCAGGGTTGGACGAGACCTGTTACATGAGTCACAATCAAACCCTTTAAAAATATGGTCTACCCGAAGCAAGAGGGCGACCGTTGCTGGGACGGTTCCTTGCGAATCTTCACTTTCCCACGGTTTGATCGCGGCCCACATGGAAGTAACCTCATCTGAAGCGTCACAGCCTCACCGGCTGCAGGTTGATTACAGAATTGAGAGAGCCTGCAGTTGGCGGTTGTCTTTAACCTTTTCAAAGGAATTCCGCACGGACCACCAGCTTCAACACACCTGTCCACTCCCACAGAGCTTGTGCAAATCTCCACCTGAAATGAGAACTGAATCAAGCGAGGGACCGAGGTGAGCTTCGAGTTTGCTTCAGCCCCGATGTTCTGTTCCCGGTGGAAAATCGCTAACAAAGCAGAGAGTGTTTGGTATTGCACCGACTCGTGCCTCCGAGGGCATGTTCCGGTCGCGATGGTAATTCTTGATTTGGTGATGGAAGTCGCTGATGTTCTCCTGAAGTCGATTTGGAAGCCCAAGAAAAAGCGTCGAATAGCGGCTACTCCCCGCCATGTCAAAACCATTAAATGGACCAAAAGCAAGTCCACGTTGTGACCGCACCCGAGAATCCAGAGATCTCTCGTGTGGCGGGACCCGTCACCGCCCTTTTGGGGGCTTTATTGATCGAAGAGCTTTTTCACATCTCCGTTCTACGAATCCTTAGCTGGAAACTTGCGGGTTTTCCGTTAGCAAGCTTCAACAGAACCGAACGGTACCTATGGGCGAAAGGTAAGGCCGCGGGAAAATCCGTCAAACCTGCCTGGCCTTGGGAGACCTGGTGAGTCCCCTCCGCGGGGAAACTTCAAGACACGTTAACTTTAAGCAAAAAGAAAGAAGCTGTAGACTTGATGCCTGGAAATTGGAAACCTCCGAGTTCCTTGCTTCCTTGGTTCCGTGTCCGTCGACTGAAGCACTGATTTGCCCAACGACCTTTCACCGAGCCATCGACACGAATCGCTTTGGCATCGTACAATTCTGACTTTCACATGCCCTAAAAACACCCAAAATAATTGCCTCTGTTTTTGACCGGCTTTGAACCGTGACACTGCCATATGCTGAAAGCATGCTTGGCGTGCAAATCCTTTCCCTAAGCAAACTTGAGAAGACATGAAAGGTAGCAAGCCCCAACGTTGCCATCGCACATCGCCGAGGCGGCTGGGAGCAAAGCTTGAAGTTCCAATTGATTCAAAACTTTCATTAGGGACCCTCTGGTGGACATCGCTTGAATGACATCAACCACGTTCCAGGGGTCCCTATCAAATTCGGAGGTTGTCACAATATCGCTTTGTTTGGAAGAAGGGCGGACCAGGAAGAGTCGAACCCGGAACCGGGAGAGATTTATCAAGGGGGTAGTGAAAGTGATTCGTGATTCCCTTTAAAACCAGGTGCAATAAACAATCTTGATTTCAGCAAATGGGGGTTTATCAATATTCCTGGCCCCCAAATCCATTTGGTGGTTGAAATGCCGTTTTAGTGGTTTCCCCAATGGTCGTGCTTGCTTCATTATGGGGCCTTTTGACCACCCCCCAAATGAAAGTTACGTCAACGCCCAAAAACGGTTGGGCAACTCAGATGCCCAGCGGCCATGGGAAAAAAAGGGCACCTCTTTTTTGGTTGGTTGTTGTAACGGCGACTTTTTCCCCAAAAAAAGAAAAAAACGAAAACACCACTGGGCAACTGAGGCCACCTCCCCTTGCGGTTCCTTGCCGGTGACCTGCAGCCGCGAGGGCGGCGATCCCGTGATCCACAAGAACATGGCCTGTCGACACGAGAGGCGGCCTGCAAATAACCTGCAATGGAAACAGGGATCCTTACATTATACACCTGAACATTGCCTTGTAAATGGTGGTTTTCCCTTTATTTTGGTGGAAAAGCACCATGTTTCAAATGGGCAAACTGCATCTTTTAAGGAGCCCTGTGGAAACCTCATCAATTTTCAGAAAAGCCACTCAACCTCAATACAAGCCTCATGATTGTTTAATAGAATCCTATTGGGGGGGGGGGTAGAAAAAATGAAAATGCCACTGGGGTAAAGTAGATTTGCCCAATACTAAAGTAGTACTGCCCAATTCAAAAGTAGTATTGCCCAATACTAAAGTTGTATTGCCCAACATTAAAGTAGTATTGTACAGTATTGCCAAATTCAAAAGTTGTATTGCCCAATACTAAAGCAGTATTGCCCAATACTGATGTAGTATTGCCCAATACTAAAGTAGTATTGCCCAATACTAAAGTAGACCTCCACATGAATATGGTGCCAAGTTGTTGTTTGGAGCCAAAAACCTTCTCGACCTTCTCAGGGGGGGGGGTGTTAATCTTTTAATCCGGTGTAAACAGAAACCTTTTCAAGAGGAACCTTTGCAGGTTTTTTCAGTTCACGTTCAAATCTTTCTCTTCAGTTCCGCCTCCGGCCAGGACAGGCCAAGCGCACTCTTGGCCACCCGCGGATTCAAGGGCCCCAGCCCCGACACGAAGGCGAAGACGGACATGGCGAACACCGCCGCCAGCATCTGAGCGCCCACGTAGAGGCCAGCCCAGCCCTGAGTCAAAGGCGCCGTCGCGCCCGGAAGGCGCTTAACTTCTTGAGAACAATTTCTCTAGCAATTCAATGCAACACATCGACCTCCGAAACAGAACGACCCCCGAAATCGGAAGTACTCTTGACCACAACCCTTTGGGTGTTCTAGCCTGCGCAAGAAAAAACAGCAAGCCATGCCTATGGGTTCCCTGATGCTTTTATCCCTGCCTTTACCCATACCCCAATGAAACCTTTGCATGTCTGATTGACGAATTTGAAGCCGTCATGTTGCACGAGGGTGAGCGGCTCAAGGTCGAACAAAAGAGGCCAGGCATTTGCTTTTTTCCTCAAGGCTATTAAACATGCTCTCAGGGGATGTTGCGGGCAGGGCTCAACCGAAGGACAACAGGTACTCCCTGCCCCAACCTATCAACCTCCCTCCCCCCAAACACCCCGTCTCCCTTGTTTTCTCAAGGCGACACAAAAAGAAAGCCCAAGTAAGGAGGTGAAACTAGGGGAAGGGTCAGGGGGAATGGCCATGGTTGCGATAGTATAAGGGTCTGTCTCAGAGACGGGGGCTGCCAAACCTGGCTCAGCACAGGGTTCCTGTATGTAAACAGTAGTATACAGTACTATACAGTACTAGGCAGTAGTATACAGTAGTATACAGTTGCATTCCTCCAAACGAAACGAAACTCAATTGTAATTGGGCCTCCCAGTTGAAACCTTTTAGGGAAAACCGATGGCCTTTTTGGGGCCGGGCCAGGAAGAAGGGGACTGGCCCATAGGACCGCCCTGGATTGATCACTCCGCGCGATCCGAGGCCTCGCCGCATTTGAAGATGACACGCGGGCCTGCAAGCGCAGCATGGCCAAACTGTGCGAATGGTTTTCATGACTTGCGCTAAGCTGAATTTGCAACCGAAAACGCGAAAACGCGAAAGCCGCGAAAACCACGAAAACGACTAACAAAAAAACGAGAAAACCGCGAAAACGGCAAAACACGCGAAAACCTCGAAAACTGTGAACACACGAAACGCGCGAAAGCGGTAAAAACCGTGCAAATGCGAACTTTCGCGCAACATAACCCTTTGAAAAGGTGGCAAACTCATCCCATCTATCCATTTATCTATCTATGTATCTGTCTATCTATCTATCTATCTATCTCTATCCAACTATCGATCTATCTTTCTATCTGTTGATCTATCTATCTGTCTATTTATCTATCTCTATCTCTATCTCTCTAGCTCTATCTATCTCTATTTATCTATTTATATCCATCTATGTATCTATCCATCTACATACCTACCTATCTACCTATCTATTGATCTATCTATCTATCGATCCATCTATCAGTTTGTCTATCTATCCATCTATTTCTAGATATCATATATATAAAATCGTTCATACCTGCCCTATTTAACTCATTGTATCGTATCTAGATTGTCCATCTGATCTATCTGATAAATATCATACGTCTTATCTACCTTGTCTATCATACATATATATATATACTATTTACCTTATTTATCTTACCTACCTTATCTTATCTTATCATAGATTATCTTGTCTTATGCTATCTTAGCCTATTTTATTTCCTATCGTATCCCAGCTTGTCCTGTATTATCCTATCTGCTCCTATCTATCCCATTTTGGCTACATTATCCTGTCTTAGCCTATCTATCCTATGTATCGATCGATCTATAAGTCTATGTATCTACCTATCTCTCTGTCTTATCCTGCCTTATCCTACCCTCATCCTGTCTTATCCCATCTAATCCTATGTTCCTATCGTCTCCTACCTTCTCCTATCGTATTCTATCTTATCCTGTATTAGCCTTACTATCCTATCTTTTCCTGTCTTATCCCGTCCTATCCTCTCTTATCCTAGCCGATCCCATGTTATCCTACATTATCTTGTATGTTGCTATATGTTTGTACCTTATCCTATCTGCTCCTATGTATCGATCTATCGATCTATGTACCAACCTACCCACCTACCCACCCACCTACCTCCCATCTATCCCATCCTACCTATCGCATCCATCTTATTATGTCTTATCTATCTGGTCTATCTTATGTATCGCATCGATTGTATCTACCTATCTACATACCTGTCTCTTCTTATAATATATTATCCTGTATTCACCTGTCTTAACTTCCCTTATCCTGGTTTCTCCTATCTTATCCCATCGGATTCTATCTTATCCTGTCTTACCCTATCTTATCATATCTTATCTCAGATCACCTTATCTGATCCTATCTGTCTATCTATCTATCTACCGACCTATTCTAAATATCCTACCTTCTCCAGCTTTCCTATTTATCTCATCGTGTGTAGCTTCTGTATCGGTTCTAGCCTATCTATCTGATGTATCGTATGTCTTATCTACCTTGTCGACCTTATCTATCATGTCTATCCAATTTACCTTATCTACCTTGTCTACCTTACCTACATCTATAGTATCCTGTCTGAACTTCCTTAGCGTATAGTACTCTATAATATGCTATCTTATCATGTCTTGTTCTAACTTGTCCTACCTTACCCCATGTTGGCCTATCTTACCGTGGCTTATCCTATATTATCCTGTTGTAGCGTATCTTATCCTATGTATATATATATATACCTTTACCTCTCGATCTATTTATCCACATCAGTATATATATAATCATATGTTAGCCTTGGTTCATCCTATCATATCCTGCCTTATGCTGTCTTATCCTGTTTTATGCTATCCTACCATAGATTCTCCCGACTTATTCTAGCGTATCCTACCTTCTCCTATGTATCTATCTATCTTATCCTATGTATCTATGTATGTGTCTGTCTATCTATCTACCTAGACACCTACCTATCTATCCTATCTATCATGTCTATCATATCTAGCCTATCTTTCCTATTTGTCCTATCTGTCGCATCGTATCTATCTCACTATCTTGTTCCATCTTATCTACATGATCTATCTTATATGCCTTATCTACCTTGACTATCATACCTATCATATCTATTATATCTACCTTATCTATCTTGCCTACCAAATCTTATCTTATCACACATTGTCCTGTCTTATCTTATTTGAACCTAACTTATTCGATATTGTCCCGTCGTAACCTATCTTATCCTGTCTTATCCTATCTTATCCTATCTTATCCCATGCTATGTATCTATCGGTTTATCTATCTATCTCTCTATCTAAGCTAATCTAACCTAATTTATCTATCTATCTACCTACCTACCTATCTTAATTCTGTGACCGCTGGGGCTCAAAACACAAGGCCATTAAGCATACTAACAACGAAAACTTGCAGCGAACACCTGCGAACATCGCGAAAACGCGAAAACCGCAAAGCGCGAAAATCACGAAACCACGAAAAGCGCGAAAAGCGCGAGACCGCGAAAACCACGAAAACCGCAAAAACGCGAGAACCGTGCAAACTACGAAAACCGGAAAACCACGAAACCCGCGAAAACCACGAAAACGCGACAACCAGGCGAAAACCACGAAAACACAAAAACCGTGAAACGCCAGCATGAGAGAAAGGTAAAAAGGCGCAAGCTTCAAGAACAAAGGCGAAAGCCTTGAGAGCCAGCAACGGAGCTTTCTGGTTTTCTGGTTTTATGGATTTCTCGGCTTTCTCGGTTTTCTCGGATTTCCGACTTTCTCGTGTTTGCTCGGTTTTCCGTTTTTCTCGGTTGTCCGGTTTCTCAATTTTCCGGTTTTCTCGCGTGAATGCGGTTAGCTCCGTGTCGCTCAAAACAATTGCTTAAGCTGGGGCTCATCCAAGATGGGACCGAACCCAAAATGTACCTGGGAACTACTATATCTCGGTGCCTTTGTAGTAATTCTCATGGATCTTAGGCTGTGAAATGTTCGTCTCCTATACAGCCCGGCCCAGCTTGGACGGATTGCTGCCGCTCTGTTCCATCATACGTCGTCCTATGTCTCCCTTTGTGTCCATTGTCTCCCTTCAACTGCCTCTCTTTGTCTGCCCTTGTATATGTCTTCCTTTGTCTCTCATTTGTCTTTCGTCTCCCTGTGTCTCTCTTTTGTCTCTTTGTCCCGCTGTCTCCCTTCATATGGGCTCCTTTTGTCTGTCTCCCTTCCTGCTTCTTCCTTTTTCTTTTGCTGGTCAGACGGGATCTTGCTCTGTCTCTACTTGCCTTCCCTCGTCTTACATATTTGTCTCCCTTCGTCTGCCCTTGTCTCCCTAAAATCTAGCTTCCTTTGTGCCCCTTTGCCTCCCCTTCTCTCCCTTCATACGGGCTACAGGCCAAAGTCGGCAAGCCGGTCAAGGGCAGCCAGGCCGGCTGCATGTCGAGGTGGACTGAGTCTGGGGGCTCCCTGTGAAGCGCTTGGATGGCTGGGGCTTTGGGGCTCGGGGGAGCGGCAACTTCAAGGCAAATGTGCCCTGCAAAGCAAACCAGAGCAGAGTAACAGCAATGCAGTGCAATTCAAAGCCAAGCAAGCCAGCCAGCTAGGCAAGCAAGCAATCAATCTGCCATGGGCTCCCTTCATGTGTCTTCCTTTGTCTCCCTTCGTCTACCCTTGTCGACCAGCTGGTAGAGGTCAGACAGGTTCACGCCACTCTCTGCAAATGCCTCACTTTGTCTCTTTGCCTCCCTTTGTCTCAGCTTGTGTGTCCTTGTGTCTCGCTTTGTCTGCCATTATCTCTCTTTGTGTGCGCTGCAGGCCGAGCTCAGCAGGACAATCGAGGTCAGGCAGGCTCGCCACTCTGTCTCGCCTTGTCTCCCCTTGTCTCCCTGCATAGGTCGAGGTGCAGGCTGGTCGAGGTTGGGCGGGCTCTTGCTGCGCTGTCTTTCTTTGTCGCCACTCGTACAAGCCATGCAAAGAGTGATGGTAAGGTGAACTACTTGCAGCTGTGCCAAATACTCACTCATTGAGAGTGAAAACGAACATGGAAGCTGACAATCGGGTTTTGGATGACCGCATTAGCCGCAAACAAATTACTTGCTGTTCAAGATGACATGGGAAAATAAGCGAGTTGCTTGGTGATTGTGGAAATTTAGTGGGTCGCCAACATAGGAGCTAATCACCTCCTTGAAATATAATATTGGGGCGGGCCCTTGAGATCCATAGAAATCACTTTCAAGTTCGGACCAAATGAGAGTGCTACCTTAACCACTTGCCTCCATTGGTTTAAGGCCCCCGGAACAAGTAAGCATATTTCCAGGAGTCATAAATTCCCTCCAGAAGCAACAGGCGAAAATTACAATACGTATTCTGAAGCAAATGGAAGATTGGAGGTTGGGTACCAGCCGGTTCAAAAGGATGCTGGGGCTCAAATCGCCAACCCGTCCATGCCACAGAGAGGTATAGGGTGATTGGACGTAAAGCAAACTGGCTGACAAAATGCAAAGCACGAAGCCCGGAGCAAACGCTTCTCCTGAAAACCTGGCGATGTCTTAGGGCCTATTGCCAGCCTATGGCACTGGGCTATCGAGCATGCTGAAAACCCGCCTAAAAAACAAAAACCGCCTGGCGCAAATCCGGTTTGGCACATGAAAAGCCCTCGCTCGAAAAGGCTACAAGCCCGTTCTTGGAGCACAAATCTGTTCGAAGAGAAGCTCAGAATCTGGGCGTTGTTTTGTTACATTGGGCATCTCGACAACAGTTGGTTTCCTTTTGATGAACCACGCAAAAGCGGGGGTAACCTAAAAAAAGAGAGGAACACTTTCCATCTCAAGTTTGTAGTTGTTCAAGTCAGACAACCTGTCCACCATCAGTCTGAGTCAGAAAGCCAAGTGTTACCTCTCAATGGACCAATGAATGTTGGAATGTGACCAAACCTCAGATGGAGCCCCTCAAACACGTGGCGACTTCCCATAACACCGAAGCAAAACACATGGCGCCGGCGAGGCGGCGCAGAAATTCTGGCAAGGTCTCAGCTGCATGACACTGCAAGGATCATTTCTCAACCAACGTCCGTGTGTGTTCCCTTTAGACAACACCCCAAAAAGGGTCCACCATTTTGAGAAACTCCCTTCTTTTTCCCTAGCCCCCGCCTTACGCCTTTCTCTTTCAATGGCTTGGCATGGGACTCAGCACTTCCCCCATTGTCCCGTCGTTATAGTGTCGACAGCGATTCCTAAGCTGGAAATGCAAAATGCAAAACCCAGCAATAAGACGAACTTATCAACCCCCACCTCCGAAAACCTCCAAAACCTCTAAAACCTCCAAACCACCAGAACCTCCCGGACCCCAACGCCTCGACAGAACCGCCCGAACCACACCTCGACACCCAAACACCTAACTGAAGAGCTCAGAAACACCAAACCCCCAAGCCACACCTCTCCAAGCCTCCAAACCCCCCTACCCCGGGCCTAGCACGCGCGCGGGGTTCAGGGCGCCCCCGGTGTACTGCCCGCCACTGGCCGCGCAGGCGAAGAGCGACAAGCCCACCGCCAGCGGGGTGTGGGACCCGTGCCCCGGCTTCGCCACGCCGCAGGCGTAGACGCAGCTGATCAGCGTGAAGGTCATGAGGCACTCCCACCAAAAGACCTCGCGCCGCGTAATTAACAGTCTTCTCTCGACAACCGAGAAAAAAAACGAAAAAAACATTGTGGAAGGTTTGGGAAAATGAAGGGAAACCCCAATTCTAAGCAAATGAAGTAAGGGTGAGGCTTAGGAAAATGAAGTGAAAATGCAAGACACACAAAGAAACGGCCTCTCCCAAAACAACTTAGAGGTGTTTTTGTGTGGGTGAGCAGGGGTTGCCCCACATGGAAATTATCCCGTGGAAAGACCAACCAACAACTTCCTGCATGGTGGAGTTCATGCCACGTAGATGTGTCTTTTTGTGCCAATTGTTGTCCTCTTATTGCTGGCAACCCGCCTTGAAGTCGTTTTGTACAGACGCCAACCCTAAGCCCAATCCAAAGACACCTCTAAACCTGTCCTGATTGGAAGCCAAAGGCAAACGACATGGACAAGCGCACGTGGCCCTGTGTGGCGTGTTTCTTGAGGATGCCTTTGCTCGAAGGAACACCAAAAGGGAAAACCGCCCATTTGTTGGCCACCAAGCTGAAAACTCAACAAACACATCAGATGATCTATGGCAGTGGTTTGCTACATATGGTAGGGTGTTCCTTCTTCAGCCCTGCGCCCTGTTGAAGTCCACCTCATCTCGTGTTCATCTCGCTCGCCAACGCAATTCTGTTTGCCATCGCAATAATTTGCTTGTTGCGCCAATCTCGGCGGCCAAGTTTTCTCAGGATGAAATGGCACGTCGTAGCCGCTTTGCGGCCTAGACCCTGCATATCCCAGGGTGGGAGGCATGGGTGCGAAGCGAATCTTGAGATTCAAGAAATAGCGACATTGTGAGGCACTCAACAACAATCGCGTGTGCCACACTGACATGCTTGTTGCGCCCCTCTCGGCGGCCAAATTTTCTCAGGATGAAATGGCACGTCGTAGCCGCTTTGCGGCCTAGACCCTGCATATCCCAAATCATGTTTAAAATGGGCGAGTCCATGTTTAAAATGGGCGAGTCCATACCCCCGAAACACAACATGTGAACCAAGGGGCGCAGGGCGGGGGGGGTGCTTGTTTGCTGGTAAGTGCGGTGTTAACTGCTGCGGCTAAGTGTAGGGCACGACCTTCCGCGAAGCCGTCAGTGCATGCGCAAGGGCATGACAAAGAGCATGAGGGTAAGGTTGGGCAATCAAGGTCATAGGCATGCCGGTCCTGTGGAATCCAGTCAGCTGAACATGAGGAAGGCGTGTACGTGAACAGATACCCGTACCATCACACTGTTTAGACGTTCGAGGTCAAGCGAATCAATGTTCCCACATAAAAATCTAGTTCCAACGAGTACCAACACAGCAGAAATCGAGAATAATCTCTTCCGTATGCAAAGCCGAAAGAAGGCGCACAAGAAACGGCAGCTGCCACATCTTTGAGGAATGGGGATTCTCAAGGATCCATGGAAGCTTCTGCTCGTCCAACCATCTAATAACATAAAGGGCAGATGTGACACACTTGTTTCCAACTTCAACTTTGGCTTGCTCGTGAGAAGGTAGTCCAGGCAGTCCCCAAGGATGCGACTTATCTCGAACAACAAGGGTTCTATCTCTGGCCACTGAGAAGGACGAACATGGTGGGGCAAGAATGGCTGCAACCACACGACGCTTCTCAATGTCAAAATTGATGCTTTGCAACACTGCAGGGCGAGTCAAATCACCCCCGGCACCGTTTAACACTTCCCACTCGCGTGAGTTGAAGCCAGCAGCCCGGATTGCTTGTGAAACTCTTCCCGACCCAGCAAAAAGATCAGCTACGTACTCGCCTTTGGCCCCCCATTTCGAACCGCGATGGTAGGAAAGGGGTCGAGTACGATTTCTTCCCGATTTCTTCCAGATATTTCTCTGCTGCCTTGCAAGCTGCCTGCGTTGAAGGCGAAAGGAGCTGCCAAGTTGCCGCCAATCTTCCCGCCTTCTCGTAGCGAGACATCGCTTTTGCATCTCCTCCACCGTTCTTGTCTTGACGTTCCGGAATGACGCGCCTGATACGGCACCAGACTGACCTGAAGATCTTGAGTACACAGATTGAACACCTTCAGGTCTTCCGTGTAGTCGAAATTCCACACCAGAGTCATCGGGTTGCCTTTTGACAGACTGCGCAGCGCGGGCTCCAAGAACCTCGTGTAGTCGGAGTCTAAAAACACCGCGTCGTCTTTTGCCCCTGTCTTTGACACATCGGCAGTTTCCGGCAGCCTTGTCACCAAGCTCCATTGCCCTGTCACCCCCGGCGTGGGGGGAACAAGGCCCATCTTCCGCAGCTTCAGAAGAGCACCAGGTCTGAGGTAGGTGGACAGCTGAAGGAGGTTGAAGATGCCCACGGCCACTTGCCCTCCTCCATGTCACCCCACACCACACTGGGAGCGGGTAGGAGCGAGAGGGGCACAACTTGCGCCACCCCCGCAGAGCCCGCCAGCGTGTAGTCCCAAAGTGACTCCCCTCGCCCTCCTTGAACTTGTTCTCAAACATTTTCAAAAGGCCAGCGTCCACCTCGGAATCCACGCTGAAATTTACGTTCATGGATTGGAGAAAAGCCTCCAACTCCCTGAAACGCTTCGTGTAACTTTCTCTGACCCGACTGGTCACCGCAGCCTCCTCCAGAAAACTTCTGTCTCCCTGCATCTGACTGCCCACCACGATTTGCAACTTCTTTCTTCGCTTGCTTCTCAAGGTGCGACTTCTCCTTCCTTTTGGCTCTTCCCGCAGCTCGGACGAAGTGCTTGAACTCACTGTCACGTCGTCGCCTCTTGCTGTGCGAGGCGCCACTCCTAGCTGCGGAAGACTCGAAAGAGCTCGCTCCGTCAGAGGCAAGCCAATTCCTTCCACTGGTTTGCCCAGCAGCCTCTTCTCCATGTAGCTCTCCCTGTCCAGTTGCCGGACTCGACACTTGGCTCTTGGAGCAGGGCTCTCTGGGGCGCCTGTCAACGACAAGGTCCGTGTCCTCCGCTGCTGCTGCTGCTGCTGCGACTGCTGCTTGCTGCGCTGTGAGCAGGGTTGGCATTGGGTGTCAGGGATCGAACCCGTTTTGGCCCCCCCATGTTTGAGATGCCCGGGCGCAGGTCTGGAAGCTTGCGCTTGAAAGAAGAGGGGGTCATCACAAACATCACCCAACAAGTCAACCAAAAGCTTGGACTCGTCCGGATCATGGATCCTGGATGGTTCGTCGGCTATGTTCAATTCGCTTGGCACCCATTGCACAGCAACATGCAGATTCCGAGCAAAGCTATACGCAGCAGCTCCCTCAGAACCTTCAAGAGCAACCCGCTTGACACTCAGAAGAATGGCTCTTGCCTCCAGCCCCCCAAGTATCGGGGTCCAGAACTCATAGCTGGGGACCTCTTCGAATTTCGAGCCAAGCTCCCACCCAGATTCAGCAAGTTTTTTGCAGCGGCCTCATCAATGCGTCCCCAAGACTGTCCATCATACTTGAAACCAGCCGCGGTCAGCGCGCTCTCTCGTGCGCTGTGACCAGTCGTGCGCTTGAACCTTGAGCGCTCCTCAACAGCCGCCTTTGGCCACCACGCCTTGCAGCACCCATAGCCTCCGAGCGAAGAGTCTGAGCTGGTAACCATGCTATTCCACTGTCTCCGTTCATGAGTGCGCAGAACGTGCAGTGACCCATGATCTTTTCCATGGTCTGGCCACTGCACCGCCCTCTGCGAAGGAGGCCTGCAATGGCTTGGTGAACCTTCCACAATCGTTTGGGTTGCAGCCGGCTGCGGAAAAGCCCACCCTCCAAAAGGCAGCCCAAGGCTTCGACCGAGCCCAAGCTGACTTCACTGGCATGCAGCTGTAGCCCCACCTCATTGAACTTCTCCTGCAGTTGCTCCATTGTGTCCGCACAAAGCGCGAGTCCAAATCAAGCACACCAAGGTTGTCAACGTAAACGTAGAAGTGAGCGTTGTTTTCGCATGACTTTCCAACACGAAGCACGATAGGCCCACCCCTGTCGCTGGCTAGAACTGCATTCTTCAAGTTGCTCACCCCTCCGCACACTTGCTCGTTGGCTCGCTGCGCAAAATACAACGACCATGAAAAACCTTGACACAGACTGCCTGCGCAAGGATATATCAGATCGTTCGCTGCGAGCAACTTGCCATCAACAGTACGCCCTGTCATGCCCACAATGTGTGCTGGAACTGCCTGCCAGGCGAAATACCTGCTCATCCAGGCAGGCACTCGCATCCGGTCAAAACAGTCTAACAAATGTGTCAAGAGCTGTCAAAGCCATAGAGTCGACCCAGGCCCCTTCCTGCATTTCCAGCTCTATCCTGCCAAAGCCCTCAGCTGTTGTCAGACTGACCCGTGGGGCTTCCCGGAACAGCTGGTTCGTGGGACGACAGTCGGTAATTAGTCTCAGCTTTGTCCGATTTGACTTCCAGACAAAAAACACACCGACCTGACTTCGGGGAGCAGTGGTGTACACAAAACAGTTGATGCCATGCAGCTTTCTGACCTGCCCATCATCCACACACTTCTCGCAAGGTCCTCGCTAGGCCTAAGCATCAGCTCTGAATTCTCCTCCAGGTATCGAAGGTTGTCAGCCGGCAGCACTTCTGAAAGAAACCGCCAGCGCAGTCTTGCGGGACACTGACGAGCTCGGAGTGGTAGGAGGCCACCGCATCGTTGATGACTCCCATGTCATAGGGGGAGCCACCACGGAAAAGCGCCTTTAAGGCTTCTTCCGGGCTTTAGCACTTGTCGCCTCTGGGCTTTTTGGCCAAAGGCCAGCTGGTTTTGCATAGGGCCAGTCACCACACGTTCATCTTGAGCATGACCGTGACCAGCCAACACCATCTCATTGCAGTCATCAAAGACCCGCTGAATTCGACTTCGCCGCTGCCGATAGGCACGAGCTAGGCCCATGCACACCTTTGCACCCCAGGCACTCCCGATACAGGTCGTGGTCGGGTGTGTAGATGTAGGCCTCCTCTTCTCCAACCACCAGCCCGATCATTGCTTCATGCCACACCGTGTCATCTGCATACACCAGCAGCACCCTGCTGCCACTTTTTAGTCAGCTTCCGATAACACTCCTCCTCCACGTCTCCGACTCCGTCTAGACTCAACAGGGCCATGCGACTTCCACCACAAGGCTACGCAAGTGATCGAAGCTAGAGATCCAAGAGCAAATGACAGAAGAATATAAAGAATGCTGAAGGATGTCTCCCGAGGCCGAGGTTCTGGTGTCTCACACTTGCAGATGCAATCACAAACAGGATCAATCACAGGTGAGATCACAAGGGTGCTCTGGCTCTGGTCTCTCAGCACAATCGCCAAGAGCTGCACGGCGAGAGCACTCCAGAAGCGCATGGCAGCATTTCATGCGAAGCGAATCTTGAGATTCAAGAAATAGCGACATTGTGAGGCACTCAACAACAATCGCGTGTGCCACACTGACATGATTTGAGCCAGCTTCAGTCGGAGCTATCGCGCTTCCGCTTTTAACATAACTGAATACTTGAGCATAGGAAGCCTACAGGCACCTCTGCATTACCAGGTTTGCTGCTTTGTGAGCAGAACCGGCAGCACTTCCAAAGAACAGTGCTGACAATCGAATCAGCTTCCTTCCAAACATGCTCACCTGAGTGTCTCTAGCTCCGGCCAGCATTGAGGGCGCTCAGTCATTGGAATTGCGTGCTATGACTGCATGGCTCCACGCCCCCCCCCCCCCCCCCCCCCCAGCATGCAAATACACTGCGCTTGTGAACATGTCATGAGTGTGTTGTCGATCCCATTTCGTTGTGTGGGGTGTTCCTACCTTGCTTTGAATGCAACCGAGTATGTTACCCAAGAATGCTTTTGCGCGGCCTTATATATATTTATATACATATATATATATATATGCGCATATATGTGTGTATGGGGTTTGCCTTTGGGTTCCCTACTCAACCAGCTCCCTTCGGGCACCTTTCGCCAAAGGTTTGCACCCAGTTTGTGGGCTTCTGTCTGTCTCCTTCGCCCGGACAGCCTGCGTGCGGGTGAGCTCGGACGAGACCACGGTGCTGTCGAAGCACCCAGGGCCCCCGTCGCCCATCCCGGCGGAGGCGCCCGGGACCAAGCCCGACAAGGCCCAGGCGCCACAAATGGCCCCGCAAACCTGGTGTGGCTCGCTTGTTGTTGACCCTTTTTTTTTCAGGTTGGCTTGAAGGGAACACATGGAAACTCCTGAGTTTTTTGGGAACGGGGTTGGCCCCCCAAAAAACCGTCAGATAGCAGAGCATACCCAAAAAGTACAGCACATTTCACGGCAGATTGGTCAATAGCACGACGACTCGAATCGAGCCCGTGTTAGGGGATGGCTGGATCTGGCCAAATCAACGAATCAAATCCCGACTTGGGATGTCTGATTTACTAAGAGAGCGGGCCGCCATGGGGCCTGCAATTGTGCACATTATGCAAACGCAGCGCTTTGTGCAAAAAACACTGCATGCAGCTGAATCGGATGTAAGAACACATATGAAGAACATATTATTGCTTACAAAGCCTTGAGCAAATGGCTTTTTCTGCCAAACATTAGGTGCAATCACTTTCTGCAGGCTAGCCTATCCACCAACCTCCCTTGAACAGGGATTCCAATGGGAAGCCATCCATTTGGCTGACGTGTTGAGGGATCTAAAAAGAAGAATTCTTTGCAGCCTTACTTCAAATACCTGGTGGGTTTTAGGCAAAATATCAAACAAAAGACAGGTGTCGGTGGCAAATACCTCGCTCTTAGTCAGGGGTTGACAGGCAACACCTGGATATTGGGCTTGGGCAGTTCATAGTCAGGCGGAAAGTAATTCTGCTTGATCCTTCTCCGTAAGATGTGCCCCACACGCGACCGACTATCCTTGCGAATATGGGCCTGGGATCCTGTGCGGCCATACTTGCTGCGGGACATCCGGATCTCCCCCGGTTCCATGTTTCTTGCCTTGGGACCCCTGGTGACCTGTTTGCGAACATAGATGGGTTTCCCTGGTCTACGGACCATAAAACCCATCCAAACCAGTGGAACCCGGACCTACTGTGGGTGGACAAAACCCTGCACCACTTCAATTGTTTGTTGGTATTTACAGGGGAATTATCCGAAACCAGGGTTTCTTGGGAGCGACATGGATTTTGCAACCATCCACCCAAACCAACCTGAAAAGGACCGCCGGTCGCCAGTCGCCAGCCACAAGGACTCGGATCGAAAGCGCGATTCGATGTAGCCCATGAAGGTTCGGATCCTGGATGCCCTTTTCTTTACGGAGATGGTTTGGATGCCGTGTTCTTTTTTCTGGAGATGTGTTTTTTTTTAGTACTCTTTTAGTTCTCTTTTACAGGGGTAGATCCACAAAAGCCACATCCAAACCCGGTTTCCAGAGGGATTGCTTCAATTTGTTGAGTCCAACAAGGCTTGCCTTGTGTTCCCCCACCATTGGCACCGCGCTGTTGAGAAATACCCCGGCAGAAAACCACGGTCAAAGAAGAGAGATTTGGGGTCCTTTCGGGTCGCGCTCTTAAGGAGAGCGAAAAAGGGGAGTCTGTGGCTTTGAGAAAATGTTTATTTGAACTTTGCCGAGGCAGAAAAACGGGCTGAATCACCAAAATCCCTTGCTCATGTCACATCGGTTCCAATTAAAACCGTGTCATGATGGATGGATCCTGGTTCCACCCAAAGCCGGTTTTCAATTGCGACCAACCCCAAAATCGCAGTATGGTATGGGTGTGGAACACTGAATCCACATTTCACCCCACCAGCCCCTTAAGTACAGCTTTTGTTTCAGGGTACATGGCCTGGAGGCAAACGTAGACGATGGTATGGAGAAGAGGGTAGAAGCCGCACACGCAGGTGCCTGGGTGCGAGTCTAAAAAACTAAAAATGGCCCACGGCTTTTTGGCGTCCTTTTGGAAAACAGAAAAATATTGTTTAGCAGGCAACGATACCTCCTTTTTTTGGAACATCACCTTAGCAAAAGGAAGCTAACACTGGCACTGACACGATGCTTTAACAATCCAACATAAATTCTGTGCGAAACAACAAGGTTCGGCACCTGTGCTTTGAACCAGTCTGAAACGGGTGCCCTCCAAAGCACCCGCCAAAACCCAGCTTCCCTGTGATTGGTTTGGATTGGTGCTCAGTGGTGTCCCATTGGTGTCCAAAGGAAACCAGATCCAAATCGAAAGCAACTCTCCAGTCAAACATGCAACTCAACAGGTCCCTTTTGAAGGAAAATGGTCCAAACCAGGACCCCCCAAAAAGCAACCAAGTCGATCTAATGATCTACCAGAAAAAAAAATAAAAAAAATCTACCGCCCGCGGTCCGGTCGCTAAAGCTGACAGCCGGGTTCAGATGCCCTCCCGAGATGTTGGCCGCCACGTAGATCCACACCGCCAGCGCAAAGGCGTTTACAAACGCACCCATGTCCTCAAGGAAACTCCCGCAAATGCAAAAGCCACTGAACTCAAGCATGTTTAAGAAACTATATGGGTGTGTGTGTGTGTGGGTGTGTGTGCGTGCGTGCGTGCGTGGCGTGGCGTGGCGCGCCGGGCCGGGCCGCGCCGCGCCGCGCCGCGCTGCGCCCTGCGCGTGCGCGCGTGCGGCGCGTGCGCGCGCGTGCGCGCGTGCGCGCGCTTGCGCGTGCGCGTGCGCGTGCGCGTGGGCGTGCGCGGGCGTGGGCGTGGCGAGTGGGCGCGTGCGCGTGCGCGTGCGTGTGTGCGTGCGCGTGCGCGCGTGCGCGTGCGCGTGCGTGCGCGTGCGCGTGCGCGTGCGCGTGCGCGTGTGCGCGTGTGCGCGTGTGCGCGCGCGTGTGCGTGCGCGTGCGCGTGCGCGTGCGTGCGTGTGCGTGTGCGTGCGTGTGGTGTGGGCGGGGCGCGCGTGTGTGTGTGTGTGTGTGTGTGTGTGTGTGTGTGTGTGTGTGTGTGTGTGTGTGTGTGTGTGTGTGTGTGTGTGTGTGTGTGTGCGTGTGCGTGTGCGTGTGCGTGTGCGTGTGCGTGTGCATGTGGGTGTGGGTGTGGGTGTGGGTGTGTGTGCATGTGTGTGTGTGTGTGTGTGCGTGTGTGCGCGTGTCTGCGTGCGTGCGTGTGTGTGCGTGCGCGTGTGCGCGTGTGCGCGTGTGTGCGTGTGTGCGTGTGTGCGTGTGTGCGTGTGTGCGTGTGCGCATGTGCGCGTGTGCGCGTGCGCGCGTGTGCGTGTGCGCGTGCGCGCGTGCGCGCGTGCGCGCGTGTGCGCGTGTGCGCGTGTGCGCGTGTGCGCGTGCGCGCGCGTGCGCGTGTGCGTGTGTGCCTGTGTGCGTGAGTGGGTGTGCGCGTGCGTGCGTGTGTGCGCGCTGTGTGCGCGCGTGCACCGCGTGCGCCCGTGCGCGCGGGTGTGCGCGCGTGTGCACGCGTGTGCGCGCGTGTGCGCGCGTGCGCGCGCGTGTGCGCGCTGGCGCGGGTGTGCGCGTGCGCGCGTGTGTGAGCGCGTGCGCGGGTGTGGGCGCGGGTGCGCGGGTGCGCGGGTGCGCGGGCGCGCGGGCGCGCGGGTGTGTGTGTGTGTGTGGCTGCGCGTGTGCGTGTGCGTGTGTGTGTGTGTGTGTGTGTGTCTGAGTACGTGTGTGAATGTTTGTGCGTGTGTGTTGTCTGTGTTTGTGTGTGTGTACGCGCGCGCATGTGCATGTGCGTGTGTGTTTGGTAGTTTGTGTCTTTGCGTGTTTGTTTGACTGCTTGATCGTTTCTTTCTTTGACTGTTATCTTGTTTGCTTGTTGGTTTGGTTGCTTGATTTCTCTTTGTCAGTTTGTTTGCTTGCTTGCTTGTGTAGAGGGCACGACTGACTAGGAAAGGCCGGACTCTCTACGCAACCAGTCAACGCAGTTCCTCAGAATGAGCATGCGCTTCATGAGATCATCCTTCGTCAAGCTAGGACGAGCGGCCGTGCGTCGCCCTGTTCTTCTTCACCTTGAACTGCGTCTAGATCGCCTATCTCTTGATTCGGGTCGAACTCCCAATCCCTCGCAGCCCGCCGTCCTCTGCCTTGCGCATTGCTTCTCGGCCACGTTTAATTACTGCGCTTGATCAATCGGACGCTTGGTCATCGTCGCCTCGTTCAGAGATTCTTCTCAATTCCGAATATCTCGTTCAGCTGATTCGACGCATCTTGTAAAGATCACGACTGAGGCGACGTTGGCCCGCGGGCTCTCGAGACAAATGTGTACTGGCGTTGGTGGCACCTGCCGCTGCTCTCAACTCGGACATTCTTCTCGCTATGACGCTCACATGGTTCCGCAGAGGTTCGAAGCGCGCATCGACATACTCCCGCAGTGACTCCCGCAGCGCGCGTATTTTGAGGAATGGTCGGCCAGCGTTCCCGAATCCGACTTGCAGACGGCCTTCTGTCGTCCCGCGCCTGACCAGGCTCACTGTCTGCCCGTGTTCCCAGGCGCAGCAGCGTTGTTCGCGTAGCTCTGCAATATCGTTGGTATGTTGATTCGCAGCTCCGTCGACTGGCACAACGCTCGCTCAGTTGTCGATCCTGTCGTCGTCGGCAAGTGCCCCTTCCAGCTCCCTTGTGTTGTGTACATCTCTGCTGGTATTCTACTGGCCCGCGGCCTCTTCTTCAAGTCATTTCCTTCGCCAGACATGTACAGCGCTATCTGAAATCTTGCTCAATATTCCCCCGCGCAATCGAA